TTTCAGACAGTCCACGAATAAGAACCGATGGCGCTGGCTTCAGCGAAGCCTCCGATCGACGATCCTCATACGGCAGCGCTTATGCTGAAGAGCAGCTCTTTGGGCTGAACGGAAATCTCAGGCGGGAGTCATCGCTAGGGCCTTCTCCTCGTGCTGGGCGCTCTAATACTAGGATCGACGAGATTCGTCAGCGGGAAGAGAAAGCCAAGGAAGAGCTTGCCGAGTCACGAAAGGCGCTGCCAAGAGCTAGAAACAATACAAGGCTGGAGGAGATTCGCGAAAGAGAAACAGAGGCAGAGGAGCATTTCGCGAAGCTACCCCGACGCTCCTACTACCCGACACCCGATGATTTACCAGACCGTGAAGAAGTTGATACACAAGCCCCGCCAAAAAACACGAAACTCGACGAGATACGAGCCCGAGAAGCCGAGTCATTGTCTAAGAAGGCCGTCGCCACTAGTCGATTAGAGGAGATTAGGGAACAGAACTCAATGATGTCGAGATCCATGTCGCCGGAAGCTCGGCGAAGCGAGGACTTTGCGAGAGAGTCGACGCCTGTCCGAGAAGCGGCTGGGGAGTCAGTGTGGCCCACAGAGGACGGCGAACATGTCGCCAACACGCCTGTCACAATCTATCGCAACTCACCTGTACGGGAGCGAAACAAATCGCTGTCTGAGTCGCCGGCGAACCGAAACGAGCGGGCGAGTCCCAAGTCTGCGAGGCCATTGGGTGCGCATGCGCGAACGGACTCGAGAGACTTGTTGCAGAGGCTCGCCAGAGCTGCAAGCAGCAGCCCTGCTCCTGAATCCAATAACCAGCCCGCAGCTACAGATGAGAAAAAGTGGCCAAGCATTGAAGACCTCGAGAAGGAAAGGCTGGAAAAGGCGAATCAGGAGGTAGAGAGATTGGAGAAGGAGAGACGAACGAGAGACAGGCTCGAGAGGGAGAGACTAGAGAGGGAGAGACTCGACAGGGAGAAGCTGGAGAAGGAGAGGTTGGAGAGAGAGAAGATCGAGATGGACATGCTCGCTAAGGAGAAACTCGAGAAAGAGAGACTCGAAAAGGAGAAGCTCGAAAAGGAAAGACTTGAGAAAGAGAAGCTTGAGGAGGACAAGCGTGAAAAGTTGAAGCTTGAGATGGAAAGGCTCGAGAAAGAAACATCCAAAGAGACTTCGCAGAGAGCCGAGACACAGCGGCGCAGAAGCGAGCCTAGACGGTCTGCCCCCGAACCCGAACCTAAGGCCAGTCCACCACGACGAAACCGCAGAGAAACTATCAAAGTGTCCGAGCCAGCTTCTACTGAGACGAACGGAACAGATGACTCCAAGTCCAGTTCCACGGACGAACTGAAAGCGCCGGAGGTAGGGAGGCCCCAATCTCGCGTTGACTTCGCTGCAAGGCGCCGAGAACGTCATCAGAGGTCAACCGACTCAGCCAAGGACAACCGTAAGAGCGTGGCCTTGTCGGATGGTGATCCTACCGACCGCATCGAACAAGAGAGGAACCTTTTCGCGCCTGCGGACAACCAGTCTGAGCGTGGATCGAGAGCACCTTCTGCAGAGCCTACTACCGAGGATGAGGATAAGGACCTCGCCGGCGAGACTCCCCGGCCGAAGAAAGTCGACCCGCTATCTCTCCCTACACCTAAAGTGACTGGGGCTTACGTCGAGACGCCTGCGACGCTAAAGGTTGAGCGTATCGAGGAGAGTACCCTACCCCCATTGAAGAGGCCTGACCCTTCGTCGAATGCGACTTTCGATAGACCGCAGAGCAGAAGAGGATCACGGCCAACCTCAAGAGCAGGCACATTCTTCAAGGCCTCCGAGTCTGGCTCCGAAACGAGTGATCAGAAGGAGACGACCGGAACGAGTACTACTACCAGCCTGCGACGCCGGAATAGATCGACCTCTCGGCCGCGCAAACCTCTGACCAACTCAGTCAAGCCGCCGACAGTCAAGGACGATATAAAGGAACTGCAACGCATCCATCAGATTGAAGACTCTACCTTGGACGATTTTGAGGAGCTGTTTAACATGCAGAAGCTCCAAAACGACCCCGACCTGGATATCGAGTCGATGCTCGATGACATTGCGGTCAAGAAAGAGGAAGTCGCAGCCAAGCCGAACATTCCAACGAGTCAGCGAAACCACGAGCTGGAGCAGTACGACAGGATGAGCAAGACATTGAAGGACGGGCTATTCAACATCCGTAGTGCCAAGCAGGGCATCGAGCGCTTGGAGGGGCAGGTGTCTCACGCCGAGGGCGGCAAACATGATGATGCTGCTACACTTGAGAAAGTGTCGGAGAAGCAGCCGCAAGCCAAGGGGTCGCATCACCGCCACAACCTGGATCACGCTCGCGATTGCCCAGACTGCAAGAGCCAGACTCCCATCAAGGAGGTGTCGTACCTTCACCTTCCTGTGCCTAGCCTTTACCGTCGCAACCCCTTCCGCCTTACATTCCTTGGGCTGATGCTTCTCCTTATGTCGCTTTGGTATGCCGCTGAGTCTGCCATGTGCGAGGCTTACTGCCGACCAACTTCATGTTCATCGACACCTTGCGTCTGGTCACCGACGGATCCCACTTGGGGTGTTGCTATTCCTGTGAAGCTCGATGAGTGGGCCACAGGTGGCTTGGGCCGGCAACTCGCAAACCAATACTCCGAGGAGGCATCAGATCTTTGGGCGGATGCGTTGGATTTTGTGACAGGGACCGATATTACGACTATTGATATCAACACACTTGACTTTTACGACAAGCGACAACTCCGTCGTCGTCTTCGCAAGAAGGGACTTGCGAAGCGGACAGTCGTCGAGTCAGCCAACGACAAGGCCAAGTGGGACGCTTGGCACGCCACGCGCGTGGCCAGCGAGAGGGCGCAAGACGCGAGAGAAATGGGGTATGATATCGGCGACGCGGATGAGAGCCTTGGAGACGATGAGATATTGTGAGAGGAGGTAATTATTCCCGGTTGTTGTACATTACTACTAGTCTTTTACATGCCGCGCTTGCTGCCGGATGACAGCACGCTGGATAAGACGCTTTGGGGCACAGAACTCCTTTGGTAATTAAAGATATTTGCAAATCAACATGGTCCGCCCCGTGGACTCTATACGTGATTTAGCCATGCGTGGGGGACGGATTGGCTGAGTCAAATCACGACATTCCGGGCCGATCGCGGGCTCCGCCGGATTCCGGGGGCTTAGCCGTCATGGCTCCGGTGAAAATATGGCTTCTTCTAACTTGCGTACTACTAACCCACAACCAACTACACGCACTCACTTGCCTTCAATGTCGTCTAACAAATTGCAAAATGGACGGATCCAACATTAGCTCACAAGTCAAAGCCAACTTGGTAGAGAAACCATGGTTCGGCTTCGACCTCGACGACACACTCCACGAATTCCGCCGCGCCTCTTCGGCCGCCACGACGAAGACGCTGGAAGCCATCTCTCGGAAACACGGCACTCCCGTTGACGAGTTGGAGGAGGCGTACGGCCACGTCCTCCGCGTCAAGACGGCAGCCGCATTTTCAGACGGTAAGACGTCGTTTGAGTATCGACGGGAACGCTTCTCTTCGGTGCTGGACCGGTTCGGGTCACCCAGCGACGATGCGGCGTTTTTGGATTCGTTATTGGATATCTATGAGCGGACTTTGAATGAATCGCTCCAGCTGAAGGACGGTGCGGAGGCGTTACTCAAGAAGTTGAAGACTATGGGGAAGAAGGTTGTTGTTATGACGGAGGGTCCGCAGGATGCGCAGGAGAGGACTGTGAGGGAGCTTGGAATTGATGGGTATATTGATTTTCTGGCGACGACGAATTTCTTTGGGGTGGCTAAGACGGAGGGACTGTTTGGGGAGGTGCTGCGGCATCTTGGGATCGGGGCGGGGGAGATTGTGTTTGTTGGGGATAGTGTGGTGAGGGATGTCGAGCCTGCTTTGAGGGAGGGGATTTTGAGCGTGCTTTTTGATGAGAGGGGGGAGACTTCTTGGGAGGGGAGGATGATGAAGGTGAAGAGTTTGAGGGATCTTGAGGGCTTATTTGGGGATGGGGATGCGTGAGATGGTAGATAGTCAGTCATTCACGATTGCAGCGCCGAGGCGAATGAAGATGTATTGGCATTCTCCTTCGGATATAGGGCGGTCTTGAGCCGGCTCCATTTTCAATTACGGCGACGCGGAGAATCTGATCAAGTCATGCCTTGGGGGAAGTGATCACTTAGATTGAAGTCATTACGAAGCTTTACACGGCTGTCAAAAGCATGGTAGATGGCTGTGGTAGTAGCGGTATCTTGCCAAATTCACGGCGGGACTTATTTTGAGCACCAACACTTTGCACTCAAAGGTACTGTCAAGCTGATCAAGGTAGTATTGGATTGTTTAGTTCAACGGCGTAGACGTGCCTGTATGAGATGGCGGTTGAAACAAGCATCATGATCCATGCTCGGCCATCGACGTCACTGGTAAGCGCTGCCATTGCCAACACCAAAGATCGCCAACAAACCAGGAACGTCTGCGCCTCTGTGCTTTCAAATCAGGAACCTACCCCAGATTTTTGCAGTTACCCATGACCACGATGGCTCGTTTTGAACCGGTTAAAATACCCGTCAAATGCTGGATGACGTCCGTACATGGGTATAGAATCAGCTGTGCTGCGCCGTAGGGCTTGGCAAGACTGCAGTCGGGCGGCTGCCAAGCTGACATTGAGCAACTGGGTAGAGAACCACTGATGAACTAATATCAGATTGTACAAGCAATTTAATCTAGATTGATCATGAAATCTCTTGGGTAAATGACGTTCTATGTATCAAATTTATACGAGTACATACAACAGCTATATCACGATATCTTAGCGAGACTTTATCTTTCCCACGAACGGATCCGAATAATACAGATAACACCGAGCATTACCATCAACCCGAACTCCAAGTACCGGTGCTTCTCGTCATCGTCAACTACAACTCCCCGGCTCTAAGAACCAAAACAACCACCTGTCGCAATGGCTACCGCAACATGTCCAGACCCCCACCTCATAACACAACCCACCCACTTTCCTATCCCAGAAAACCTCACATACGTCGTTACGCTAGGCTACAACACGTATGACACGCCCATGGCGGCCTGCTGCGACCCAAATTCACTCCAGCTCGCCGAGGGCTGCTACAAGTGGTGCGAGCTTCCCGCGACCTACGCCGACGAGGACACGGCGCTGTCTAGGTTCATGGCCTGTCGTCGTCGCTGGGCCAACAAGGAAAAGATGAGTACCAATGGGACATTGAAACATAATGAGACGTCTGGATATCCTTTCTACTTGCACGTTGCTGAAAGCGGACCCGCGGGGTCGGGCGTTACGACTGTGAGAGTTGGTATGTTTGTTTTGGTGGCTTCGATGTTTATGGGTTTGGTTTGATTGTGTTTTTGGTAAATGGGTTTCTTGATACAATCAAGATGTCATCCAGACTGTATTAGCATGGTGTTGGGAGCTAAGTCAGGAAGTTGTGGGGTGAAGGTATATTCCTAGTGTTCTTGGGTGTAAACATGGCATTGCCGGCCTCATTGCAGTCAACTATATGGAAACATGAGTTTGGATGATTGATGTCAGTAATGAGGGAATCGGGATTGACGGATTTATTCTGGCACATTTGATCATGCATCTCTACTCATTGTAACAATTCTCAACCGTGAAACTTTGAGCATCACTCAATCAAGAGTGACATACTTCAAGAAACTTGCAGAAACGGGTTGCAAATTCGTTGGTTGAGATCCGCATCCGCTCGGGTCCCTCCAAGTGTGACAAATCATAGGCGATGGATCTCTTTCCACGGAGACCACGCAAGCTCACTTGGTGTAGATCTCTATTAGTTTCATTGAGATTTCGATATCAAAGCGAGGGGGAGGTTGATTACCAAGGTGGCCGCAACCCCTCTTCCAATCGACTTACACCGCGATGCGCCAGCTTACAAATCGGCCATCACATCATCTTCAGTCTTACACACCTCACCTCCATACCGTTACTTCACTATAAACACACAGCCCGAACCTTCTCATCTCGCTACAAGACCTCAATCGACAAGTTTTCATCCAACCGTAACCACCACCAACATCAAACAAACCCTCATAATGGCACCCATCAGAATCGGCATCATCGGCCTCTCCTCAACCGCAACAACAGCCTGGGCCTCAAGCGCCCACCTCCCCTACCTCCTCTCTCCGCGCGGCCGCTCCAAATACACAATCACAGCCCTCTGCAACTCGAGCGTCGAAGCCGCCCAGCGCGCAGTGAAAGCCTATAACCTCCCCTCCTCCACTAAGGCCTACGGCAGCCCCGCCGACCTGGCCGCGGACCCGGACGTGGACCTCGTCGTCGTCTCGACGCGGGTCGATCAGCACTACGACACGGCTCTTTCCAGCGTCGAGGCGGGTAAGAGTGTGTACGTCGAGTGGCCTCTCGCGCAGGACGCGAAGCGCGCGGGGGAGCTGGCGGATGCGGCGAGGAGGAGCGGGGCGAGGACGGTGGTGGGTGTCCAGGGAAGATTTGCGCCGTCGCTGTTGAAGGTCAAAGAGATCTTGGAGGAGGGGAGGATTGGAAAGGTGTTGAGTAGTGAGGTGAGGGCGGCGGGTGGTTCGTTGGATCGGAATGTTTTGCCGGCTGGGTTGAAGTACTTCACTCAGCGCGAGATTGGAGGGAATGTGATCACCATCGGTTTTGGTCACTGTGAGTTCATTTCTTTGCCCTTGACATGGAAATCTCACCCATTGCTAACATGAGCGTTCAGTGTTTGACCAGATCCAGCACGTCCTAGGCGAGGCGACCATCCAACACTCGCACACCCAAATCCAACGCCCCGACGTCAAGATCCGCGACCCGTCAACGAAGCAAATCGTCGAGACAGTCCCAAGCAACGTGCCCGACCTCCTCGTCGCAACAGCGACCCTCCCACCCTCAAACCTCGTTTCCGCCCAAGGCGCCACGCTCCTCGCGCGGTTCCGACGGGGTCAGCCCTTCGGCGGCGAGCCGCAGCTCTCGTGGACCGTCAACGGCGAAAAGGGCGAGATCCGTCTCACGTCGCAGAACAGCGTCGCGCTGCAGGCCTTTGCGGACGTGGACGGTGTCAAGATTGAGGTTCAAGACTTTGAGAGCGGCGAGGTGGAGAGTGTGCCGTGGGCGTGGGAGGAGGGGTGGCAGGCGGAGTTGCCTGTGCCGGCGAGATGTGTCGGGGCGGTTTATGAGGCTTTTGCGGAGGGTGAGAGTTTGCCTAGTTTTGAGGATGCTGTGAGGCGGCATGAGCAGGTTGATGGGATTCTCTACAAGTCTGGGTGAGTGAGATGGCTTATATTAGTGTGTAGGCTCATGGTCTTGTCCCGGGGCAGGGACCCAACTGAGGTGTTTATCTAAGTATCATGAGAAATGTGATCTGCTTCTTCATCACTCAAGTCACTATTCAACGTTTAGTATTGTGATGTTTGAGATGTCTTGTGCTTTTAAACTCACTTCATGTTTTGGCGTTCACGCTCACTCTCGGTTGAGTCATCCGGCGGCGGCACTAACACGCAGTTAGGCAGACAGTTGCCTTCAAAGTCAGCCTCACTTCTACATCACCCAACACATATAAGCTATGCAAACCTACCACCCCTTACGAACAGCATACAAGCTTCAAATTCAAAGAATGAGTTCGATCCTTACATCCGTAATCACCATGAACACATCACCAATCTACTTTTGGCGGGAAACGGGGCATGAAGGCTACCTCTCCCAATGGTGGACCTCCAACCCCTTCACCCAATCTCCCTCTCCCTCTTCATCCTCATCCTCGTCCCCATCCTCATCTTCAACCCCCTCCACATCCATAACATTCAAAACAGCAGAACACTACATGATGCACGCCAAAGCCCTCCTCTTCACCGACCCCGCCGTCGCCCTATCCATCCTCAAAGCAGACCACCCGCGCAAAGTCAAAGCCCTCGGCCGCAAAGTGCGCAACTTCAACGAAGCGCTGTGGAACGAGAACAGAGAGCGCATCGTCCGCGAGGGCAATCTCCTGAAGTTCCGGTCCGCGCCAGAGTTGCGGAAGAAGTTGCTGGCGACGGGGGATAGGGAGCTGGTGGAGGCGAGTCCGATGGATCGGATCTGGGGGATCGGGTTCTCGCCGGATAAGGCACCGGGTTCGGATCGGGGACGGTGGGGGTTGAATTTGCTGGGTAAGATTTTGATGGAGGTTCGGACGGTGTTGAGAGAGGAGGCAGAGGTGGAGGAGGAGAGGAAGGGGAGGAAGAGGGAAGTTGTCGAGGCTGAAGCGAAGAGGAGGCGGAGTTCTGAAGAAGGTGAAGGGAGTCAAGTTGTAGACGAAGGGGCTGTTAAGAAGTTGAGACGAGGAGAGGAAGATGCAGGATCCGTCAAGACGGCAAATGACACGGCTAAAGGGGGATAGTAATGATGGGGTGAGGACATTCTTAGTTCTCGTTTGGTATTACATCGCGAAGTATGGGTAATCGCCTCGTCTACATGAAAGACACATTTTTTCCTTCTACACGTACACATATAGCCTTCAAGAGCGGTGTTGGTTTTTGTCTTTCCTCCCCCTTTGGCCACACTTCACATTGTGGCAACGTCGCGTCCAGTGTTCGCCAGTCCCATATGCCCCCGAGTATCTATTTTGTACAAGTAATAAAACACTTTTTTGTCGGCTGAAGATTTTTTGCGAGAAGGGGGCTTCTTTGTAGGTTGTTAATTCATCATCCAAACATCTTCATCGCTTATGAGAAGTACCGCCCCCTTGAAAAGTTGGGAGTGGTGGGTTATGATAGTAGTGTTGGTGTTGTTGATGGTAGTTTTGGTTTAGTAGTAGTCCTTTCCACTCTTCTGCATCTCAATGAGACGCCATCCTCTCGTTTCAGGGTTGCTGACATCCTCTGGTACGCGGGTGATACCGATGGCGTACGTCACCAGCTGCACCTTATCCTCCATGCCGGCCGCGAGCTCGCCAGACTTTGCGTTGCGGTAGACGTGCACCTCTTGTGTCCTGCAGGTGATGACGAAGACGGGGATTTCACCGGGGTCCAGCATGCGGGCGCGGACAATGTCGACGTGGCGGATATCGAGGATCTTGCCGTCCGACTTGAGGCCGGCGGTAAGGTACTGCTTCGTCAGGGCCTCGTACACGGAGTACTGGGCCTCAGAGAGCCAGAGCTTGAGGGTCTCGATGTCGCCCTTGACGTAGGCGTCGAGAACCTCGGGCAAGATGTATTCGCGGAGCTCCTTCAAGAAGGGCTCCGTTCGGAAGCTGGGGTCCATTGTGCGGAACTTCTTGATGACCTGGGCCGTCTCGTTCTCGGCGAACCATCCTCCAATCTTGTCCGTGACGAGTCGCGCGGTCTCGATGAGGGGGTTTTCGGATTCGCGGTAGACCTTGCCGGCGCTGAAGAAGCCCTGGGCGAACTTGTTCGAGTCCTTGAACTCGTTCCACGCTTCCTTCCAGGCGGCGTCTTTGTGAATCGTGACGTTTGTGCCGGCGCTTCATCACAGTCAGTTGGGAGTTCCGGACCTGCAGGTAATCCGCTTTTTCGAAAACTTACTTGGGGTCTTCCTCAAAGATCTCTGGCTTGCCGTGCTTAAGGGCCTCAGCCTCGCGCTTCTTTCTACGCTCCTCCTTCTCAACCCAGCCACCGTAGCGCGAGCTGCTGCCGTCATCGATAACGTCCTTGACGTTCTTGTAGGCCTCGGTTTCGCGGATGGGCTTGGTCGCCTTGTCGAGCGCGTCTCCCGTCACGTTAGCGACCTTGCGGACGCCCTTCATGGCGGTGGTATCCCAGGTCCAGGCGGCACCCTTTCCGATGGCGCCAGCGGTGGTCTTGACGGCGCTCGTCGCAGCAGAAGAGATGGCGCCAGAAGACTTCTCATAGGCCTCGCGGGCTTTGCGGACTCTCTCGCTCTCGGCAAAGTCCTGGATCTCGCCAGACAATGCCTTTGTCGACTCGTTCCATTCCTTGGACTTGCCAAACTCGGCCGTCAGTGTCTCTCTGAAGACCTCCCACGGCGTCTTGTCCCCGTGGGGCGGAGGAGGCGGCATGTCCTCCTTCTTCTCCTTTTGCTTCTCCTCGCCTTCCTTACCCTCCTCTCCCTCGGCCTTCTCGCCCTCCTTCTTCTCGGATGACTCCTCCTTGCCCTCAGACTCGGCGTCCTTGGCCTTGGCTTCCTCGGTGGGCTTCGCGGTATCCTCGGCAGGCTTTGCACCGTCTTCGGTTGCCTTGGGCTTCTCGGTCTGCTGCTGCTGGAGCTGTCTGGCCGTCAGGTGGAAAGACCTGGATTGCATCGAGCTCGAGATGCTGCGGACATCTTCAGGGAGAAACTGTGATCGCAATGAGGTGGATCGTGCAAAGGTGTGTCGTGATGAGACCAGCACAGCGTTACTACTGATGTCTGTGGAAAGTAACCGGCTGAAGGCGGGTGTCCTGCTGTGGTTTTGGACCGCCGCCCGCGCGGAAGCTCTTACGAGCGCATTCTGAGGATTTCTCCTCGCCGATTGCACGAGAGAGTTCATACTGTGTGTGTGTGTGTAGTATAACCCAAGCCAACCGCCTCTCGACGATTAACGCAAAAGAGGATATTAGAAAAAGAGAGGGAGGAGAGGGGCGGAAAGGGGATGCAGATGACGATTGGGGGCGAGTAAAGTTGCAAAGAAATTTTGGCTCGCGACAGGTTCCGACGGGGGTTCCAGAAGCTCTGGCGCTGCAGTGCTGGGCGAGCGATCTCGGTTGACAGCGGAGCGCGGAAAAAATCTGGGCCCTTGTTCAACCGAAGACGACCCGGCGCGCCACTCGGGAGCCAATCAGATAGCGGCAATGTCTCCAGACGTTCGAACGGGAGCTTTACCAAATTTCTGAAATCTTCATTGCAGCTGGGCCATCATCGTCACGAACAGGTCGCCCTCTCTCCCCCTATTGCGACAGGAAGCCTGACACAACTCCTGCGATGAGCTCCGCACCAACGACTCGCCTCTTGGCGAGATCCATCTTTCAGACTGCCGCCCGTCCATCCCCGATATCACGATGCTCCCCGGCTTTCCTCCGACCCTTCTCTCAGACCCCGATTCAGCGCGCCGACGATGCGAAGAAAGGAGGCCAGGAGCTTCTCGCTGCCATGTACGGCTCCCGCTCCACAGCCTCAACACCGGCACCGACACAGGGAACTAGCTCGCCCAGCCACAACCAGACAATGCTTCTCCAAACCCTGAACAAGGCCGCCGGCAAGTCGCTAGATGGCGGTCTCGCCTCAAGCGGCTCAGGCCTCGACGACCTTGTCCCCGAACAGGAGGACCTCTTGGAGCCGTACCACATGCACATCTACTCCCACAAGCACAACACGCATGTGACGGTCACGAAGCCCGACCGTGGCGCCATCATCTCCCTGTCGACCGGCAACATCGGCTTCAAGAAGTCCAAGAGGAAAGGATACGACGCCGCCTACCAATTGACGGCATACGTCCTTGAGAGGTTGAACTACGCTGGATGGCACAAGAAGATCAATAAGCTCGAGATCGTGCTCAGAGGATTCGGTGTTGGACGTGACGCGGCAGTCAAGGTTCTCATGGCCCCCGAGGGTAAGCTTTGGAGAAGCAAGGTCATTCGGGTGGCGGATTCAACGAGATTGAAATTTGGTGGAACGAGGAGCAAGAACCCAAGACGTGTCTAGAAAGGGGGTACGCTGTCTGGAGTTCGTGGGGGAAGAACAACGCAATAACGCCTGTACAATACATGTACAACTGTATCATATCACAAGAGCAAATTTCCTTGCATTCTGATGGTTTCATATCAAAAATGCAGATGTCCAACCCCACTGGTATCAAGTGCTGTACGCCCATTAAACCCAAACGCCAGACCTTTGTAACGCCAAACATACCGCATACCCTGATGTAGAGAATCGACGACGACGACCTCTACTTTCGAACCGGAGCCCTTTCGGCAGCAGGTAGGTCGCGACCCGCAGTATCCCGTACGGCCTTCTTGCCCTTGCCGTTGCCGCCGCGGCGTCGTTCCTCCTCGCTATCCCAATCGGCGTCCTCCGCTTGACCCTTGGAGTTCTCGGTGAGGAACCTCGGCGGCGATTGCTTCAGCATCCTAGAGCCTTCGTGAGCACGATCATCCTCCTCCTCCTCTTCCAGAAGTGCGCCGTCGGCGGTATCGTACTCGGGTGGGTCGATCCAGTCCCTAGGAACAACGCAGGGTAATGCGACACCGATGCTTGCCGCACGATTCAGCCAGCCGGGACCGGGACGGCCGGTAAGCTTTCTGCAGAGATAGGAAGTAAAGTGGTTGCAATTTTTCGTCAAGAGGTTATAGGAGGTTCCAAGGAAGTCTCTCGAGGCTTCTTCCAGAATCGCGTCGATCTCGGCCTGGGTTGCAAAGGTAAAGCCGTGGAGGATCTCGGACTTGAAAGTGCCGCCGGGGGGCTCCGTCTTGGGCTTTGTCCAGTATACTCCCGTCACACCTCGTCGCTCGTGCCCGCCGTAGGCGTACTCTCTGCCATTGATCACAACACCCGAGTGCAGCAGCGAAGCGCCAAATGTCCAAAGAACAGAGGATAGACGTCCTGGCTGCAGTCACTTTGTTAGCTGGGCTGGCGGTGACGGAACCAAGCTGTCGGTTCGGTGGGTCCGAGCAACTTACAGGTAGCAGATCATAGACATGGATTGTGACTTCGGTTTTGGATAATGACAATGTCGACCTATGCGACGCGGTAGACTGCCTGGGATTGCTCGATCGTGGAGGCATGCTTTTCTGCAATTTGTCGGGTGAGGTGTTTTTGTAGGTTGTGGGTGCTGCTGCCTTTTTGGCGTATTCCAGGTTACGTCGTGAGAGCCTGGGCAGCTGCGAGTCGGGTGGGAGGGGCGCGGCGTTGTTGGAGAAGATGAGACGAGGCACGAAACGGAGAAGAGGGCCAGTCTGGGGAATAAATGCGCTTAGGGAATACTTTCGAGGACACGAGATATGGGGGATGTTTCAGTGAATGAAGGACGCAAATACAATGAAATAGGCTGGCTGCAGAATGAACAGAAACGTTTGACGGAACTCGCGACGAGAAGGAGACGGAAGCAAACGCAATGCACCCGGCAAAGAACCTCAAGGCAGGTCTCGTAGCTTAGGTTCCTTGGGCTTGGCTCGGGCGGTGCTCGGCGCTGAGAAAGCGGGCGTCAGCAGAAAGGCAAAGTGCTGCATTGAACAACATCAAGGAGCCTGGAGGTTGCTGGTTGATGGGAGCTTGAAGGTAAGGTCAGGTACTTGGGCAGCCAGACTTAGGCCATAGAAATCGGGTGGTGGTATGCGGGATGCACAAGTACTCTTCACTGCAAGCGGGTTGAGCCAATTGCGATCCAATAGGATGCAAGGAATGAGGTCAGAGGTGGCTCCCAGCCCCGCGCTTTCCTCCAGCTTCCTTCGGGCTTCGAGCTTCCCAGCTTGGTTGCGTGGTTGCTGGGATCGTTCCTGTTCAGTGGTGCTGTCAGCGCCTTCCAGGTTTAGGTGGTGGCGGCGCGACGGCGGAATAGAAACGCCGGGATGGAAGTTGACCCCCTTCAGGTACCTGGGCCCCGTTTTTGGTGGGGCACATTAAAATTCATCTAACAAGGCCGGCCACAACACCTCTGTCGCGAAAGCTTTTTCTTCTCGATCAAACAATCTGCGAGGTTTCTCTTCCTCTTTCTACTCTCTTCTCTCTCTACCGCTCTGCTCTCTGAGTCGTCGGGCAAATCCGCGTGATTGAGGGCTGGTCACACAGCCAAGAGTCGCCAAAACGACGTCCTTCATCCTCCTCCCTTCTTCCTTCACTTCTAAATCTCCCTCTTTGCTACCCCGCGCAGCTAGCTCTGCCTTTCGCCAAGCTCAAGTGCTTCACTGCACTTTACTCTACACCACCACACGTCACTACGCAAAATCAAGACGCACAATGCCTCCCAAGAAGCAAGTCGTCGAGGAGAAGATCCTCCTGGGCAGGCCCGGTAACAACCTGAAGAGTGGAATTGTGGGTGCTGCGCCTTGAGCCTTCGCTTTCGCCTTGGCCTTAGAACCTGTCCGGGATCAGGCTGACCCCCCTTCTCTTCTCTTCAGGTTGGCCTTGCAAACGTTGGAAAGTCCACCCTCTTCCAGGCCATTACCAAGTGCAACCTGGGAAACCCGGCCAACTTCCCCTACGCCACCATCGACCCTGAGGAGGCACGTGTCATCGTCCCCGATGAGCGCTATGATTGGCTTTGCGAAAAGTACAATCCCAAGTCGCGCGTGCCTGCCAACCTTACGGTGTACGATATCGCTGGTCTGACGAGAGGTGCCTCCACTGGCGCTGGTCTTGGTAACGCCTTCTTGTCGCACATTCGCGCCGTCGATGCCATCTTCCAGGTCGTTCGTTGCTTCGACGATGCCGAGATTATCCACGTCGAGGGTGACGTCAACCCTACCCGTGATCTCGACATCATCAGCGACGAGCTGCGGTTGAAGGATATTGAGTTCACCGAGAAGGCACTCGAGAACCAGAAGAAGAAGACTCGCTCTGGTGGCAAGGGCCTCGAGCACAAGAAGGCTATGGAGGAGCAGGCTACCATTGAGAAGATCCTTCAGCACTTGAAGGACGGCAATGAAGTCCGCAAGGGTACCTGGGGCCCCAAGGAGGTAAGACTGACAACTACATTTCTTTTCCTCATCCCACGCCTCTCGTCACATGATGACAAAGGATCTAAGATCCGAACTATAAACCCAGCTCTTCGAATGCTACGGCATATTGAGACAAAAAACCCATTCTGATTTGACACAACTCCCTCATACAATCTTGTTGCAAAACACGTGTGAGAGAAGACCATTTCTGACAAAAACGACAGATCGAGGTCATCAACCCCTTGTTCCTCCTTACCGCCAAGCCCGTCGTCTACTTGGTCAACCTCTCGGAGAAGGACTTCATTCGCAAGAAGAACAAGTACCTTCCCAAGGTTGCCGAGTGGGTTAAGGAGCACGCCCAAGGCGACCCCATCATCCCCATCTCCGTCTCTTTCGAGGAGCGTCTGACCCGCTACGAGACTGAGGCCGAGTCCAAGGAAGAGCAGAAGAACGTTGGCGCCGAGTCCGCTCTGCCCAAGATCGTTCTTCAGATGCGCAAGGTCCTCAACCTTGGCAGCTTCTTCACCACCGGCACGGACGAAGTCCGCCAGTGGACTCTCCGCAACGGCACCAAGGCGCCCCAGGCTGCTGGTGTCATTCACACCGACTTTGAAAAGACCTTTATTCAAGTCCTCGTCTACAACTTCACCACGCTGAAGGAGCTCGGCACCGAAGCCGAGGTCAAGGCTAAGGGCAAGGTGATGACGAAGGGCAAGGACTACGTTGTGGAAGATGGAGACATCTTGCTCATCAAGGCCGGTGCCGCCAAGGGTTAGAGAACGAATATCTGATGGAAACTTGAGATATTGGGAATGGTCAAAAGCTCTGCCTTTTCGGTTTAGATATCACTGCCGGTTAATAGAGGTCCTTTGCCACCATAGGCTGCCAGATATGAGATGTGTGAAATCTGTGAGATCATTGGTGAAATACTGCAATGAAAAATGTTGTGCATATGAAGTACTTGAAAAAAGAGCCATGTGCTTGTTTCCTGGCTGCCTGTGTCCCTTAATCGCATAAAGGGGGGTTCCCCCGACCCAGCTTCTGAGCGACCGCAGCACAGACCAATTGGCTTCGATACCTGCTGAGCTTCATTCAGGTTCAAAGTGCTGCTGTATGTTCTCTCCAACAACACCTTTGAGATCCCTTCAACCTTCAATACGATGTCTCAACCTCCAATAAATCGTGGGCATGGACGAAACATATCAGTGACGAGGCGTGAGTGCTTATCATCCACCATGTTAAACCCTCCTCCAATTTTAGAGCCCGCTTTCTTCTCATTCTATGTGTATCTCATCACCCTGGCCCTGGCAGAAGCTATGGCCTATAGCTCATGAATGAGACTGAGAATGAGGGAGGGAGTATCACCGAATCTTCACTAATACGTTTCGTACAGCGGTTCGTCCACGGTCCTCGACTAAGGGTCCGCTCGACCTGGACGAGTGAGTTTTACTTCTCATATTGCCATGTTGGCCTTCTCTGACAGGCTTTAAGCACTCCTCTGAATGACCCGTTGTCACCAAAAGCCGCCGCCACAGAAGACACGACGCAGCAACGCCCAATATCAGGACAACGCTCGCCAGCGCTGCCTCACTCTCCCGCCGCTCCGCCCCTGAAGACAACCGTCACCAAGGACTTTGGCTTCCTCCTGCGGCCCGAGATCTACCACACCATCCAACCCGTCAACGTCCCGGTCGCATTCAGGAACTCGTCCAAGCAGCCGCCGGCCGATGCTCCGCTCGAAGACCTGCTGGCAAAGGGCCACTTCCGCGCCGCCGCCATTGCCGCGGTCCAGGAGCTGACGGCCACGGGCAGCCCAGGCCGGCCGCGGGTCGCACCGTCGGACCACCAGAGGATCTTTAGCCTGCTGTACACGCGGCTGGCGTGCCTGACGCTCATCGACGCGACGGCGGTGGCGGCGCAGGAGGTGAGGGCGCTGGAAGACTTGAATGCAGGCGTCTACATTGACGAGACCACGGGCGAGCACTTGGTGCCCTGGGAGCTGCGCGTGCTTAACGTACGGCTACAGGCTCTCGGGTTCAGCGACCCGCGCAGGTCCGTCATGAGCTACCACGACCTGGCGCGGGAGGCGCGCGAGCAGATCAGCAAGGCGACGGCACGGCACGATAACTCGGCGAGGGAGCTCTGGAAGGCGCGGCTGCAGGATCTGGGTGTTGCTGTCGCGGGCGCGCTGGTGGAGATGGATGACCCCGCCGGCGCGGCGCATCACTTGGCTACGCTTAAAGACCGCGGGAATGGAAAGATGGCGCTGTCGAGGGCTCTGCTGTGGCTTCACTTGGGGGATGCGGACGCGGCGAGGCGCTGCGTTGTACCAGGGGAGGGCTCTGGGGAGGACGGGAAGCATGCTGAGACGGTTGTGGGCGCGCTTTGTCAGATGGCTGATGGGGAATATGAGGCGGCGCTTGCGACCTGGAGAGGGCTGAGGGAGGGAGTTGCGGATGAGATGATTGGTGTCAACATGGCGGTGTGTCTTCTTTACACTGGCAAGTTGACAGAGGTGAGTGCTTTTCCTTGTCGGGTCTTTTTCCTCGTTCTCGTGTTGTTACTTGTGGTCTCATTTCATGACACACATTTCGTGGAAACTCAAGCATGACAAAGACGGCTGACAACCAGCTATACATCAGGCACGAGCCATTTTTGAGGACATGGTCGGATCCGGCTACTCATCGCACACTCTCTTGTTTAACCTCAGCACAACCTACGAACTCTGCACGGAGCGGAATCGGAACCTGAAGGTGAGGCTCGTTGATAAGGTGGCCGATCTGGAGGAGACTCCAAGAGGCTGGGAGAAGAACAATGCCGACTTTAAGTTGTAAAATCGCAAAGGAAATAAAAGCATAGCTTCGTAATGATCCTCCGAGCCAATGGAGCATACCTTGAGGTAGGATAGGATTGTCATGTATTACTGTGCAAGCCTCATGTCCGTGTGGTCCCCGAAAACGGACTTGCCCAATTGGAGCCATCCTAGCAGATGACACCCCTGTCGGTTCAATGAACCAAGTCTCCGCACTGGCATGCACAGTCGGGGACCGGACTTGCTTACAACGCTTACCAAGATGCTTACCTACGAGACTTGCATGCTTTTGCAGACTGACAAACCGTACAGTCAACACCAGACGAAGTGCAGGTCGGCCGCTGGAGGGAAGCCAAGTCTTTTTGCGGCGGGGGGGAGTGATGCGAATACGGTTCTGATTTGTGTTCAGATGTTCAGATGGTGAGGTGATGTAAAAAGGATGGATGTTCCCGCGGTTTCCGGCGTCGGGCGGTGAAGTTTTGGAGGCTAGAACTTGTGGTGTTCTTATTAGAGACATCGCCGGTGGAAGTTCTCACGAGCCACGCAAGTCCTACTTTATTGATCGACTGTGAAGTCGACGACTGAACAGGTAGAGATCGACTCACACAATAAGAGGCACATTTTCAATTTTTCAGTTCAATTCAAACAACATGGAGTCGAGAGCCTTTCAGGAGCGGACCCTTCACCTGCTTGAGAGGATCGCAGAATCTCAGACGGCATTAGAAGCGCGCCTAGCCACAATGGAGACGATGCTCTCCCACCACAACACGCAGCCGTCACTACACCCAACCTTTCCGCAATTCCGCCAGCTGCCTCCCGAACTACGACTCCGAGTCTGGTCCCTCGTCGCCATTCCACCACGGGTTCTGCGTCTAGACGCACGGGACGGGAAGAAGACAAAGTCGAATAAATCATCATCCCCACCGCCGCTGTTACGTCCGCCCGCCATCGCCGGAGCGTGCCGTGAGTCGCGGGCCGTGGCGACGAAGCATGGCGCGCTGGCGAGGCTCACGTACGAGGGGGGCGAGATGGGCAAGGGGTGGAGGACGCGGTGTTATTGGTTTGATGGGGATCGCGATGTGCTGGAGTTGGATAGCTGGGTTGACGTCGAGAGTGACCAGCCGCGGGGCATTAGAGGACTTGTACAGAGGGCGAGGCATGTTCTCGTGGGTCGCGCTGAGGCGGAGTGGTATGCCCGCCTATTCGAGCGCGCGGCGCTGGTGAAGCGCGTGAGTTTGAAGTTTGATGCGTTGGGTGTGCGGTGTAGTGCGCATGGTCGGGACGCCGTGAGACGTATGTTCGGCGGAGGCGGGGCTGAGACTACGATCGTTGTTACGGACTTGGAGGACGCGGATGAGATTGCGCGAGTGAAGAGCGTGCTGGGCTCTGGATGGCGGAACCCGGTGTTTTTGGAGTTTGATCTGGAGCTTTGGGCGAGGAGCGGGACGGAGAGGGTCGGACGGGCTGTGAGGGATGAGAAGTGGATGAGGAGGTTGAATGGGACTTGGGCGAGCGAGGTTGCGAGGGGGTGGGTTATGGCTCGGGCTGGGGCGTCTATACCAGCCAATGACGGCGGTAGAGGGGATGGGGGTTATAGAGAGAAAGATGGAGTCAGAGTTGCAAGTGATATGGGAACCCCGGAGATGAAGTCACGGATTGCGAAGGCGACGGCGCTGGATGTGGAAGATGGGTTTGTGAGGGAGGCACTTTTGGGTATGCCCAAGGTCAGGTTCGTGAGAGCATATTGTCTTAACGAAGATTATGGTGCTTGCCATTCATAGCAGAGTGGCCTTTACCATCTTTTACTTTGTATATGCCGAGACCTTGCGGCTGTGAGCTCCGCGCCGGCTTCAGTCTCGTCTCCGTCCCGTCAAGCCCACTCGGCCGTCAGTCTTCCCGCTCCAGACGGCTCTCAAGAACCACATATGCATCCTTACCTCGGTGCTCTACCTCTCAATAACTGTCTAATATTATAGACGGAATAAAGGAGCAAAGCTTCCAAGTTAAGGCTGCTGTCAAGAGGAGAAGCTTATCCACGAGGCTCTGCTCGTATAACCGTTGCTCCATAGAGGCATTACACCGAAGGCAAGCCGGTACTGTTCAGACTGTAAGCCAAACTCCATTCGTCTGACCTCCAGAATTCAAAATGTGTTGGGTTTTCACGGTCACCATTCATCCTCAGCGCAAGTACCTCCCAGACATAGCTTCCAGCCGGCACAAATGTCCTGTTGTTCTCTGAGCCACCCCAGAACCACGCTGCCGTCATTGGCTCCGCGTCTGTTCCGACGGTGTCGTTGTGGAATGGCGCTTCGCCAGTCTTGGTGTTCACCATAGAATAAGTGACTAGCCTACTCCTTACAACTTGCTGGAAGGCGAATCCGGGATATATGCCATCAGGATAGGCGATGGGGTTCTCGTCGATGCCGACGCTGGCGTTGTAGGTGGCATTGAATATCCTTCCGGGCTCAATATCGATGAATGCGAAGTCCGGCAGCCTGACTCCAATCAGTTTGGTCTGAGTCCGATCAATGATGGGTAAGTTGAGCAGCGATCCTCCATAGCCAGTATAGGGTACTGTCAGAAGATTAGCCTCAGAAGCTGATGATTGGACTGATATGTAACCGCCGAAAAACGACAGCCGAGCTGCGGCATCAGCCAAGTCGGGTTCGGAGAGGATCGATACTGCCACGGATGCAGATTCACCGCCCTTCAACGTTAGAGTCGTGGGAGTAATCGATAGGTTGGTGTAGGCATCGCTGATGTTGGGCAAAGAGAAGGTGTAAGGGGCTGCAGGATCGATCACGTAACCTGACCCCGCTGGTAGATGATCCAGCTGGTAAGTGAGCTCCTCAACACCCGTGTTGGCGAGGGTGAAACTTAGGAGCGGTGGTCTGTGATCGGTGTCATTGAAAGCAAGATCCGTCACGTTGACCGTCGTGACGCTCCGCACAGCACTCCAGGCATCGACCCTCCCACCTCCTTGCTGCTGAACCGGGGCCTTGATAGCATGAACCATGAAGTTTGGAATACCATCGTTGTAGTCTACAGGACGTGCCGTGGCCACGATAGCATTGCGGATCTGGCGCGGCGACCACTCGGGATGAGCAGACTTCACAAGGGCCGCGACGCCGCCTAGGTACGGGGTTGAGAAGCTCGTTCCGGCCCATACGCCGAGGCCGCCAAGGCGCGCGGGGAACGGCATGGCGACGTACTGTGATGGTCCGAGAACGGCAACGCCCATGTGTGTATCCAAAGCCGGACCCCAAGTTGTCCAGGATGATGGCGTGAGGCCTGTCTGGTTGTTGGGTATGAAGCTGAGGTTCATGTTGGCTGACGATGGATCGCCGGTCAGGGAGAGATCTACGCGGCCGTGTTTTGCGAGCAGCGATATGAGTCTTGAGGCTTCGTCGAAACCGATGTTGACTGCTGCGCGTACGGAAGGGCTTAGATTAGTGCTACCCATGCGAGGGATGCTGAGTGCATGAACAGCGTAGTTGGGGGCGTAACCCATGACATATGGTATTCCGTACTTGGTGGTGATATCAAAAGACGCGTCATCGGGGTCGCTCCAACATTCGTATCTAGACTGGAGAAGAATCGTAGTTGCCGGATTTGAGGGCGGTTTTGCGCCGGTTGGAAGAGGTCGGCAAGGAGACACAACATCTTGGGGTCCCTCCAGAGCCGCAGGATCGAAAGCGCCAGGCCACCACAATGTCAAGTTGATCTGGGTGGGCAGGTCGAACATTTGCGTATCGGTGGGATCACTCGGGTGGTAGTACAATGGACCAGCTTCACCGCCAGCGGTCCAATTCCCTTGCCATGTATACACAGGGACGAGGGAAGTATCGTAGGTACCGATAGCCATGCCGCCGCGACTGGCCGTGGGGGCTCTGATCGAATACAACCCCGGACCGGTGTTACCGGCAACAGTGGTTACAAGAGTGCCGTTGTCGAACATACGCTCTATTAACGCGGGCCAAGGGGCTAGCCTCATAGTCAGCAAGTGAACGCGGTCAATCAGTAGGCAGATGGAGGCGCAACAGTTGCCCGTCTATGCAGGACAAGCACCACTTACCTTCAGGATATTCCAACTCGTAGCTGTAAGGAATGGAAATGATGTCCAGATGCCGCTCGTACATGTGAAGGAAGTCATTCACCTGGTCGTCTCCGTTAATGGGGTTGACGCAGTCAGAGTTGGCGATCGCTTCAAAGGTGGCATCCGGTGCGACACCGGTATAGCCCCATAGCGGATCGCCCTTTCCGCCGGCGATGCCGAGATTCCCGGTGCCGTGCGGGTCACAGCTCCCGGCAGAGTCGTTGGCGCCGGTCCGCAAGTTGGTGGTATATGCGATGTTCGTTTCTACCAGGCCAGGTGCGGTCACATCAATCGCGGCATCCATGATGGCAACGCGGACGTTTGCGCCAGTTACATTCTCCTCGTGTAAGCGCAAAACGCCAGTGTCCTCATGCGAAGCCCGGAGAAGCGCGGCCTTGGAGGCGATCCTGGTGCTGTCGACATTGGTTTGCACAAAGCTTCTGCGCTCAAACTTGTCTGTCTCTGGATACTTTTGCTGCCCTGGTGGGAATGGCTGTTGCCTCGATGTTCTTTGGTTTTCGAACAACCCCCCTTCGGAGGGAAGACGCCAAACATTCTGGGCATCAGTGACGACAGCGATGGTATTCAGCGATGGTTGATGGAGTTGAGCTACTCCTTCGCCGCATTTCAGCGAGAAAGAGGCTCCCTGTAGAATGTTGGAGTTGTACTCGCGGAAATCATTGACGGAGCAGTGGAAGCCGTGTTCTTGAAGTCCGTTCTCGATGCTCAATGACACACCTTCGGACTATTGTCATATGTTAGCACCTTCAGTCATGGAATGTCCAACAGCCAAGGTACCGCACGCTCTCCGTCGTAACGCCATATTCAATGACATAGCTACTACGTGGTTTTCCACCTATAGGTAATGGGACAAGTGCAGCGGTGAAGCCTGCAAAGATGAGTCCGAGATGTCGAATGTAGCGCATGATGCGCAAGCGATTGGGTGAGAATTAAGGACTTCGACATTGACGACAGTCTAGCATACACATATCTGATAAAGATGCTTAGTGAGGTTTTATGTACTAAGGATCTTATAGGTGGGTTTAGGCTTCGCAAAGGTAGCATATCCATCCGAACCGGCCGGCATCAGATCGCTAGGTCGAACTCTAGATAGATTACAATAATCAGGTTCTTGCCCTCCTTCTTAAAACAGCTTGGTTCTTCGTGATCTTCTGAAAGCAAGCAAGGATTTGATCCGATACCGAGCCTCGCGGGCCGATCTTCCCGGCTTACCTCTACACCCGCGCTTGCCACGCGTGCCGCGCTCCCGATAGGTGTTAACATGTACACCATGAGACAATTCAATGATTCTTTTGGAAACCTTACGATTGGCGTACTATACCAACATCATTACCGTGCGCCGACCATATCGTGAAGCTTGCTGCCCCATCAACAATGCTGTGTCAGCGTATGTGTTCTCTAGAGCATCCAGGAGCTGACCGATGGAAATGGTACTATCCCACCGACTGGTAGATGGCGTCACTACTAAAGTACGCACTCTGATGGGGGGTAATAGCAAATCGTATATGAATCCGGTCCTGTTTCCCTTATATCTGCCTATTAGAAAAGTTCGAATGAGGGGAAGTTGGAGGTAAACTGGATGCTTCTAGTGACGCCATCTAGCAGTCAATGGGAAAGTGAGCGTGATTGCTGGTTAGGATGAGCCTAGAGACTTGGGCATAGAAAATCACAAGCTACATTTCACATCATGTCAGATTAAAAGCTACATAATTTGGAAAGACAGAGAACTAACCCGATTTACACGCAACAAATCGACAGACAATTTGCCTCAGACTGTCATGATTGCATACTCCTTTTACAGCTTTAGGACATGCCACGCGCTTGCAGACTTCTAGTCCAGTCTTGGGCAGTAAGAGGCTTATTACATCCTCATACCGACCCCTTTTGCCGGCTTTATCCGCATGTTGAAGACCGTCAATCGCATAGGTGAGCACCGCTCGTTCATTGTTGTCCGAGACATCAGCATCTGCCTTCCGCTCCAGCAACAGTTCTACAGACTTCACGGATCCGTACCCAGCGGCTAGGTGGAGTGGTGTCACGTTATTGACATCTCGAGCATCGACATCAAGAGCCTGATTGTGGCGTAAGAGCTCGTCAATTACTTCATAATGTCCTCGTGTTGCCGCAAAGTGAAGTGCATTGCGGTGGCTTTCGTCCTTTGCAGTCGACTCCACTTCGTGTTGCAGAAGCAATCTAATGATTTCAAGATTGCCATTCCCGGCCGCGCAGTGAAGAGGTGTGCGCCTTTTGTCGTCGCGGACGTCAAGCATCACTCCCTTCTGCTGAAGGAGGATTTCTACCACGTCGTTATGTCCAAACGCTGCTGCACAGTGAAGTGCCGTCTCTCCGCTGTAGTCACGGAGATTAACATCGAATCCGGCTTTCAGCAAGACTCTGAGTATATCCGAGCGACCGTTGGCGGAAGCCTGGTGGACTACCCCGACAATCATCCGGAGGTCATTGAGAGGGCGGAGCGTCTCAAGATCGTTGACATGGCCGTTTCTGCAGATGTAGAGTAGCTTGGCATCTCGTTCGGGAGGGGGTTGTGCACAAGCACAAAGACCGAACCGTTCGGGCCGTTGCGAACCACGGTTGGCAATCTGAGACGCGATATCAAGGGCCCGGGGTCGGCTCTGTGGATCTTTGTGCATCATCGCTTGACACATGTGAAGAATCCCACGCCAATCCTCTGCTAGTTCCGTCCACTCTTTGAGCCTCTTCTCGTTCTTGATACGTGGGTCTTCCTCGTTCCATTGGTTCATCAGCCTGTGAATTTTTTCAATCGCGCTTGCATTCGTTTGGCCTCCATTGTCGCTTCCAAACAGAGTATCGTGGAGAATGACCCTTCCCTTCGGTCGGATTGCAGCTAGCATCTCTAGAAACACGGCCCCTAAGGAAAACATATCGGCAGAGCGCGAACGGCTGCCTCCCCCTTCTACCTCGGGAGCACAGTACAGTGCCGTACGATCACGAGCAGCCCCCTGATTAGTTGTTGATAATGTTTTCCCCAAGATCATGTTTGATATGCCGAAGTCTACGAACAAGACACTGCTCTTGTAGAGTAGTATGTTGTCCGGCTTTATGTCTCGATGTCGGATCCCGATCCCATGAAGATGAGCCAGTGTAGTTGCTAGGCAACCGAACCACTTCCACAGATCGAGGTCCCCTGCTTTGGTCTTAATGGTGGGGGAAGTAAAGACGGCATTCTTGAAGCTCTCTGCATGTACCATAATGATTGCCGCATGAGGGTTGGTTTCCTCATCGTCCTCGTCTTCGGCATCCCTGGTAGGTTCGAAGATATAGGCGAAAACCAATTTGATGACATGGTGATGCTGAGCGAGATGGAGGAGTTTATACTCTTCTTTGAATTTGGCTTTGTCACTCTCAAGGGCTTTTTCGCTTGTCAAGGGCGCGAGCTTGAAGCTTTTGCGCACAAACGATGTTGCTTGGGATGCGAAGAGCTCGTGGCGATGCTGGATGCTGCAAGGGATATCCAGACTGATTGGGTCGCCGCCAAAAGAAGGAAGAGGGAAGAACCTGGTGAATTCCGTTTCTGACCCAAAGACCTGAATGTCAGGAATGCCTGCGGGCATGATGGGCGATGTGATGTTTGTTGCAGAAATCTTGGGCAATACGTAACGAAGGAACATCGGCATAGAATGACATTGCTGCTGTATAGGAGACGGCTTAATATATAGGACAAGTCGTGGAGTAAATATCAATAAGCTACGCCTCTTACATTTCGGCATGGTCGTCAACAAAAGCCTCGTCCTGAAATCATTCCAGACATGCATGACCTCGGATCCCACAGGCAGGTAGCCAAGCCAATATCATGTACAACAGAACGTCTGTGGTGTTCTCCAGTAACACAACAGATTCCTAAGGATTATTGTTGTTCTATGATACAATATTGACTAGATGCGCCTAGGAGGCCGAATCACGTATGATGCTAGACTGAATCGTTTGCTTCGTGACACCCTACTTCGGATCACCTGGGGTCTCCTCATTTGGTATGCCTCCGAGTTGCACTTGCCCATGGGTACGCATACTACCAACCAATATCATGCTGCATGCGAGAAAAGCCAGAATGTTGTATGTGGTGATCACCTCGCAATACGCCACGCACAGAGAGTCTGTGAACCTTATACCGGATCTCTGAGTTAACCGGACGGCCTTTTCTCGGCCAGAAGTCAAGTTATTTCGTGTCACAATCCTCTTTTATTTCGACGCACATTATGAACGCCGATAGCGGCAATTTCGAGCCTGCCGTGCGACAGAGCGAACCGCATCTTCCGCTTACATGGTGTTCGACTTCATATGGAATCTTTGTCACGAATCAGAATAGGCCAAGTAAATTGTTGTCTCTGCGCGTTCACGGGTGATTACATTTTATTGACACACACTGATGTAGAGGTGCCCAACCAGAACACGTACTTTGCACATTTGGTGCAGCGAGGCTTGGGTACATAAACCCCTGACACCACCTCTTCTATCTCAAGCAGGCTGTGTGCATCTGACCTTCCAAGTTGGTGTACTCGAAAGCCCAGCGTCTCTCAGCTCAACAACCAACCTTATCAATTCTTTGAACTACGATCTCAGACGTGATGGAAGCATTCGGTACCGCTCTCGCCACGACTACACTGGTCGTTCAGTATGTATCTGCTTGTGCCGGCTTCTCATCTCAGGCTAAATCACTTGCGGTACGCTTGGAGTGGGACCTTCGAGCTATGAAAATTATCAAGCAGTATTTCGAGCAGAGAGATGGGAGAGACCAAGACATAACCTTTCGTCCCGAGGACGATACTATGCTAGAACGAACTCTGGCTTATCTCGAAGGGATAGTCAGTCTGGCGCAACGGAAGCTGATCACGATTCAACGCAAGGGCTTTCTGAATCAAGTTGCTCTCGGTGCCTCGTGGATTGCCAGACGGGCTGATCTAGAGGACCTGGAAGCCGAGGTGTTTGCATGGACACAGCGGTTCGGGGTCCATGTCCTCGATTTAAGCCTTGACCTTCGAACCAGCATCCAGATTGAACCTCATCCTAAATCTCTCACGCCGCCTGTTATCAAGTCTAATGACAGACTTCGACAATTCGCTCGTCTTGACTCACAAGACAAGAAAGTACGAGCACATCGCATGCTGTTGCAAGACCCGACTGAGCTGGCCGCCAGGATTGCTAGTTCACCTTACATCCCCTACATTCCGCTTCGCCTCGCTCCCTCCCAACAAGGATCGGGAAACAGTCAGTTGATCCTAGCCAGTAGGCAGGTATCTCAGACAACCCTCCATGACCCCGAAAGCTTTTCTCGCCTCGAAGAGGATATGGGCCTGTTGGCTGCAGCCCTTACTTGCTTGGATCCAGCGGCCAACGTCTGTCTCTTGAGGGTGGAACACTACTTCTATCATAAGCAAAGGGGGCAGTTCATTTTTGTGCACTATCCACCTTTTTCAGTGGAATCAATGGCATCGTTGGACAAACGAATCAACCTCGATCCTTTTCCCAATGTGGACACCCCTTTGGAACAGCGGCTCAAGCTTGCTCACAAGCTCGCTGAGGCGGTCCTGTTTTTGCATACTGCTGATTTTCTACATAAAAGCATCACTACCAGGAGCATCGTGGTCCTCAACAAGTCGGAGGAGTCTAGCGATTCATGCCATTCAGATGACCTGGGTGACTGCAGCTCTGATCTCGAGAATACATACCTCATGGGGTTCGATCTTATTCGTGGGGCTGACGAGGGAACGACAAAGGAGGGTGCCGCCAAGCAGGCGGACGACTCAAGGTCGATATGGGAGTTTGACATCTATCAACACGCCGATCGTCAGAACGGAAAAAATAGCCGAATGTACGTCAAGGTCTACGATGTGTACAGCTTGGGCGTCGTGTTGTTGGAAATCGGCCTCTGGCAATCACTCTCGAAAGTCGCAGCAGACTTGGATGGAATGGATCCGAAGAAGTGGTCAGCACGTCTGGGTAGCATTGCTACGGCGAATTTGAAACAAAGGGTTGGAGAGAGATATACCAAATTAGTCTGTTGGTGCCTCGCTCTCGCCGCAGACAATGGCATGAAGGAGACCGACTTCGTTCAGAATGTACTAGATCCGCTGGAGGAGATGGCCAATACCCTCTCCTGCTAAGTTAGCAATAGTCTTTGCACTAGCCCACGGCAGGGCTTTTACAATTCCCGATGCCTTTACCTCTTTGGACGCGCATTAACTGGCTGTCACCTTCGTGCAGAAACTATTCATGGTGTGACGTGAGTGCTACTTGAAGTGACGTTACGCAGCAGATAATATTGACTTATTACTGCAGCCATTATGTAGGCTTTGCATGAGCATGTTTATATGCCGTCGGGTCAAGAGAAACGAGAAAAGTCAACTCAGTAATCAAATCAGATGCTGTAGCTTACTTCTTGTCCATTCTGCTGTAGCTCATCTAGATAGGCGAGCAGAATCTGCCAGGCGAGCCATTGGCACAGGTCAAGCTCGGTTTTGTGTGAGTATCGTCAGAAACTAGTTTCGGGCGAGGCCAAGGCCATAACTCTGAGGTTAGTTCTATATTTTTGGAGAGATAACCAGCCATGAGACTTCTGCTCGCCTCATTTCGCTTTACGCCTGGTACCAACCTTGCACGCATTACATTACACCCTACCATCATGCACGAAGCTCCGAAGTCCAATGCAGACCCGCACAATCATGCCTCATTAGGAAAGAGGTGCAGCTTGTCCGGTCTCAAATTATTGAGCTGTCAACAAACCTCGTCCGGGAGCCAGTCTCTGAAATTTCGCCCCCTGTCGTTCGCCTCCCCATGCGCCATAACCTCTTCGCATACCATCTGAGGATGCAGACATGCCATGCAAAGACCATTCAGTGTCCCGCTCCTCTTCAACTGGCCAACGGAGCACTTCATCAGTGTCCGGTGGTACCCCAAAGGCGGGCCACTAACGTGACATTGTCTAACGCGGTTCCGTTCTAAGTTCTTTGACATCTTCTCATCGGCTAGTCTCGTCATCGAGATGATGAACATGTTCGGCGTGCCCCTCGATAGGATATCTATATCCATATTGCGGAGGACTGAAGAAGTGTCAGCAGTCGTGGCCTGATTTGTGTTCTCGTGATGGCGGAGAAGCCGCCTCCATCAGGGAGTTGGCCTGCTGGTGTTGCATTGGCAGTAGGGTATTATTGCGTGGATCTACTTCACCATTCGCGTCGAGAGGGATAGACGGATTTCCTTGCGTTTCCGTTCCAGTGCGACTGTTTGCTCTCCGTATTAGATAACTTTTTTTCGAATGCCATGTAAGAGGTGTGGAGAGAGGATAGGGGTAAAGACAAAGCTCACCAGCAATCCTCAATGCGACGAGTTCATCCTCTCCCAATTTTCCGTCTGCCATAAAGCTGAAACTCTCCGATATTTCGTCGATCAATCGCAATGACGCCGCCTCGAATGCCCTCTCGTGCCTGAACCAGTATGCCGCCAGAAAGAGGTCCTTTTCCTCTGGGTGTACGACTCCAGACTGCGCGATGGTGTTCATGATCCCAGGCAAGAGCCAGTGCTCAGCTGCCGCCGTAAGGGTGAGAGCACAGTCATAGACTGGCTACTGCCAGAATCAGCCTTGAAGAGAGTTCTCTCGTCTCTGAGTTCAGACTGTTGCCCTGGAGGATGTGACACAGGATTTCCATGGCCTTGGGATGGTCGTCTTGGGGGGGGGGGGGGGGGGGGGACCCAAAAGTAGGGGGGTATGGTTTGGTTTTGTTTTTGGGGGGGAAAGTGGGGGGGAGGTGGGTGGGGGGGGGGGGGTGGGGCGGGGTGGGGGGGGGGGGGGGGGGGGGGGGGGGGGGGGGGGGGGGGACTGACACCACAGTATCGTGGTTATAGTTTGTCATTGGTATCTTGGAGGCAAAGATGGGGGAAGCATTGGTTAGGATGGGATTATGGACGCGAATATCATATCTAGATGGGCCGGCAACGAGGATGAGGTCGCTATGTGATGCCGGAGCTGTACTCGTCGGTGCGAAGGCTGTTCCATCTTCAATAGACAAGGTGATGTCTGGATTCCCACTTTTGCCTTCAGCACTGCGGTGACAGATGATGCGGTGATCTGAAAGAACTCTCCAGTAAGGGGATATCACGAGGTTGCAAAATGGGTGACAAAATAAGATGCTGTTCAACAGCAAACTACGATGCATACTTATTATTTCCATCTTTCTGATTCTCCTGACATGATTCAAGTTTATACTATCTTTGTTATTTCTACCATCTTTGTTGTTGCTATTATCCTTCTTATTTCTATTATCCTTCATCCTGCAGTTTAGCATTCTAATGAACAGTTTCAGTGCTCTTTAGTAATCTCAAACGTTATCACAATTCCATAGATGAGATCGCCCTGTAGGAGGACTTGCTGTTGTTGAGAACTGCATCTATATTGCCATCGAATCCGCGCGACTTATGGCTAAGAAGAAGACACCGATACTTATTGAAGGCCAGTATCTCAATAATCTTCTTGATTTCTGTCGCTCAATACCCCTCATAGATGGTCCGTATAGCTCGACGATGGCTCGATATATGACAAAGATTTGAGTAAATCACCAGATGTGGAGATGAGTTGAGTGGTGAGGTGAAGTGAGCAGATGGCAGTTGGCACTGTGTTTTCCATGGCGGAGACGCTAGGACCCAAGCTTTTGGGCGGATCTCTCCGCCCCGTCTCTGCCGCAGGTCCCGCTGCAGAAATCGGCCCCGCATGGGGCACAGTGCGCCGGCTTCCGAGACTCGTACCTTTCTCTGGTTCACTTTCTTTTTTCACTTCACGTCTCATTCCACTTCAACTTGAACCACTTCACTCCCGAAAGGAAACACCACACTCCTTCCGTCGTCATGGTGCGCACAAGGCCCCGCAACAAGACCAAACGCGTCGCCATAATAGACTACGGCTCAGACGGCGAGCCGCCAGAAGAAGCCCACGATGACCCAGAAGACGAAAATTTCGAGGCGCCGCCCCCGGACCCAGAAGACGATGATGAGGACGACCGAATGGACGTCGACGGGGGCGACGATGATTTCGAGGCAGAGGATCCATCCAATCTAGCCATTGATGACGGGTCACGCAGAAGAGGCAATGACAGTGACGAGGAGCGGCCCGCCTACACCAGCTCCGCCGGGATCAAGAAACGCCCGACGGATATGACCGCCCTCGACACCTACCACGCCGACGGCCGGCCTACGCGCTACTACACCGGCGAGTTGAAGCGCGGCCAGCGAATCCAGGTGCTGGACTTCTTTTACGGGCCTGAGGCGGAGGCTGTTGGCGTCGCGAGTTGGTTACTGAATCGGTGGGCTGGGTATGCGGTGCTGCCCAGTAAATTACCCGATGGGCCTGCTCATCCCGTGCCGAGTCCGTGGCTCGGAGAAGGGTTCAATGAAGACCAGCAGCGCGCCGCGAAGAGCTGGTTTGAGAGGCTGAAAGGCACCAAGGGGGTGACCGAAGCCGAGAGGGAGATGGGGGCGATAGAAGCGGAGGGGTACCGGTTGAACCCGGGCGGTCACTTGGTCTCCGTGATCGGGCCGTATCAAAACCAGCAAGAAGTCGAGATTCCGCCGTACGATAGCGTCGTACTTGGCGAGATGGGGCAAGTCCTGACGAAAGACGCCGGCGACGAGCAGAAGTCTTCTGGATGGATGTTCGATGTGGGTGGCATGGTTATCGGAATGGAATGGGCCCCAAGAACAGAGGGGGAATCGCAGATTCTCTCCCTCGCCGTGGTCCCGCCGACGGACCACCAAATGGGCCTCGAGGACGCTTACAATGAGAAAAAGGGTATCGTGCAGCTGTGGGAGCTTCGCGGGCAGAAGGACGGCGACGGCGTCTCAAGACCTGCCGCACGCCCTGCGCGACTTGCCAGGACGCTGTGCGTCGACTGGGGTAGGGTGAAGCGGCTCAAGTGGTGCCCTGTACCCTTCAGGGAGGACGGCTCTTTAGGCTTACTTGCACTGCTTTGCGGCGACGGGCAGGTTCACGTCGTCTCGGTCAAGGAAATCGGCGACCGAGAAGAGGACGCATTCAGTAAGACCATGTACTTCCCTGCCTCTTGTGTTCTTTACACTGACTAATTCCACAGCAAAACTCGAAAACTCTGTCGTATCCCTCGGCGTCTCCTCAGAAACCAACGTGACAGCAAGTTGCTTCGCCTGGGTCAACACAAACCGCATCGTTCTAGGCCACTCAGACGGCTCCCTGACCCTCTGGTCCATTTCCCCGCGCATCTGCCTCGCCCGCCACGACGTCCACTCAACCTACGTGATGCACCTCGATACGGCGTACCCCTCGGACCCGTACCTCGTCGCCTCGACCCCGATCGCAGGCTACACCACCCTCGTAGACCTCTCCGACCCCTCGTGCGAGCGGACAAGCTTCCCCTGCTTCGCCATCACGCCGCAGCCGAACCTTATGCAATGGAGTGACCACCTGCGCGGCTTCTTCACCGCCGTACCGTCCGCGAACCCGCTCAACGCCTCTGTCGGGTTCGTCCACGCGCGGTGGTACGCCGCGCAGGTGCGGAAAGTCATGGACGGGGACCGGCTGCCGACGTGTCTCGCTGTCGGCGCGCAGCATCCGTTTGTGCTGGTGGGTTATACCGACGGAACGGTGTGGGCTGCGAACCCGTCGAATCGTATCTTTGCTTCGAAGCATCATTTCGGGCACAAGATGAAGGTTCTCGACCACCAGCACATACCACGCGAGAGGCTCGACGCGGAGGTGGTGAACGGGCACGAGGGCGGGAACACAGCGGACCGGTGCCGTGGCGCGTCGAGGATATTGCAGGGTTTCCGGCCGGTGCCGAATGTGAATCCTAAGGTGGACACGTGGAAGACCAAGGTTGCGATCAACAAGAAGAAGGATAAGAAGGGTAAAGCCAAGGCTAAGGGTAAGGGTAAGGCAAAGGGGAAGAAAGGCGCTGCGGCGGCGGCGGCGGAGGCTGGAGAGGAGGACGATGCCGATGTACAAGGCGGTCAGGAGGAGGTTGATGGGCACTTTGCTGATCCCGAGCGGGCCGTGATTTCGGAGCCGTTGACGCGGATCACAACGATGGCGTGGAATCCGAACATGGAGTACTCGTGCTGGGCGGCTATTGCAATGGCGTCTGGCCTGGTGAGGGTCATTGATTTGGGATTGGAATGCTAGAGAGAGAGAGGCCTCCCAAGCATAGAGTAACATAGGTGAAATAGGCAAGAAGTATGAATGATACCCTCTATTATCAACCTTCTATACAGTAAAAAACATCATGTATCCGAGACTCATGAACCTCATTACACCATCTACAAACCCCTCTGATCAGAAACACTTGCCCCCTGTAACAGTATGATGATAATCAAAAGCCTTAGCCATGCCATATAAATGCGTCACGGCGGCCATCACCACGAAAAAGTGAAAAATCTGGTGCGAGCTGCCCCAAATATCAAACGTGCGCGGGAACGAGCGCTCCGGCCAGCGGAACGCATATAGAAAAGCGCCAAAGATGTACATGAGGCCGTGCAGGACGACCCAGCTGAGGCTCATGCGGTCCTCCATCTCCTGGCGGCCGTAGATTGTCAGGCCGTGGAGGACGGGGACGACGCCCGAGGTGCCGAGGGCGGTGAACATGCAGGCGCGGAAGGTGCGCCATTCTGGGGCGCGGAAGAATTCGATCCAGGAGACTGCGCCGCAGCCTAGGCCTAGGAGGCAGATCTTGAGAGGTTGTGTTAGTGAGATTTGGTGTCTGAGTTGGTTTATATCATGAGGGATGAATGGGAGATGAGTGAGAGATGAGGGATGAGTGAGTGAGTGAGTGAGACATACCGTTGTGAGGTAGAACTTGAGCAACGCAGGATGGCAATAAAAGCCGTAATACATGGCCGGCACATAACTGCCCACAATAAGAAACACAATCCCCGAATAATCCAGCTTATTCCCCCACTTTGCGACCTCGGGCGAATGGTTGCTCATGGCGTGGTACGTGGCACTCATGCCCAAACACGCAACGGCGCCGGCGAAAAAGCACCCAAAGACAACCATGTCGGCATCGCTCGCCGACTCGTAGCGCGGTGCGATAACGGCATACAGGACCGCGCCGGTAATCACGAAGGCGACGGCGCCGAGGAGGTGGGACCAGATGTTGACGGACTCGTTGTGCAGGTACCCCAAAGAGCGGAAGGAGGCGCGGTACGAGTTGGAGTCTGGGCGATAGCCGGTGATGATAAATTGGTTGTCGCGGCGCCAGGCGGGCAGGTCGTCCCAGAGGACGAGGAGGGCCTTTTCGACTTTGCGTTCGAGGGCGGCGGCGGAGGATTCTACCGTTGAGAGGAGGGTTGTGGTGTCGTGGGAGGAGCGCCGGCGGTTTCTGAGGCCGGCTGTGCCGTCGGCTGTTTCTGGAGCTGTCATCTTGGTGGTTTGTTGTTTAGGTAGATAGTATCTTTTGGTGTTGTTCTTGGCTATATGCGTCGCGGTTCACGAGAGAAAAGGATGTCTATAATAGCATGTGGTGTGGCTCTCTATAAGCATTTAAAGGACGTTGAGATATCACGGGCGCGCACGTTCAACAAAGGCACATGAGGTAAGGTGCTGCAACTGCGATGACGGATTGACGCCTAGCGCCGGGTGTGCGGCGGCGGGTCAGGCCAGGGGTAGCTACGTAAAAGGGAGGGCCCTGATTTATTGGGATGGGAATTGTTGGGATTTCCTCTTTTTTTCTGCTGGCATCTGCATTTCCACATGCTTGAAGATTTTCCTTAGCAGCAACAGCAGACGGCACCAAATCATGTGTTTTTCTCTCGGTCCGCACCGAACGGATCCGAGGCCGTTGTCATCACAAGTGCCGCCAGCTGGAGCCGGGCAAAGAATGCGCTGAACGGTCGGCCCGTCGGTCAGACTGGACCATCCGCCGGGAAGAGAGCGGGCATCAGGTGAGACATTTGGACATTTGCCTTACATAAGGTAAATGTGCCTCCAAAGTTCGAGGTCAGCATGTGCTGCAGGACAGCCAGACGTGAGCATCGACTGTGAAACGGGCACTGGATGGAGAAGAGAGGGCCGGTGGGTTCTGTGGGAGGTGACTCTCGAGCGCAAATCTTTGCTAGGAGTAGCAAAAGACGACGAATACCCGCGGGCGTATTTCCACTGTTTAAAGCCCCCCGCCTGTTCCAGTTTTTGGACGTTGCACTGCAATTGCAAGAACGAAGACCCTGAGTCCGATTTTTGTGTCTCGAGTCAACACAATTGCAGGCTGACACTTTAAAGACCTCAGAGCATGAAAAACAACAGTCAAGGTATCCGGCATCATCCATGTCGATTTTGTCAAAGATCGAGAACTCTTTTGATATCATTTCATTGCATGCTCGTTGTAGGTATGTAAAAGAAAAAGCGCTCCTCCGTGGTCCCGGCCTTTGGTAAATCGGGCACCGTTCTTGTTGTGTGCGCGCGGTCGTCGACTTCTGGTTATTTCGCAATACCGCCCATCCAGCAGCCGGTTTATTTCTTGCCGCTCTTCTTGATGCCCTGGGTACCGGTGTTGAGAGGTCCCTTTCCGCCGGCCTTGGCGGCCATCTCCTTGCGAGCCTTCTCCTCTGTTATCGTACATTAGTCTCCATCTGCAAAGAAACTTGAGACGGGAGAGGGAATGTAGCATCCGTCCCGTCAGTATATGTGCGGGACCTACCGGCGCGCTTCTTCTCGAGGAAAGCGAGGTCGTCCTCGTCCATGTCCTTCTGGGCCTTCTTCGCGGCCTTAAGAGGCTTGGCCTTGCCACCTGTTGTTGTGAGGAAATCATTGTCAGCAACGCAGGGACTGAGTCGGAAAAGGCTGGGTTGTCCCATTTTATGCGACGGCAGATTGCTTACCTTCACGGCTTGCACCACCCATTTTTGCGAGGTTGTCGAGGAAGAAACTGGATTGAAGATCGGCTTTGGACGAGGAAGAGCGGTGGACAGTCAGGCGAAGAGGCAGAATCTGGAGTCGCAAATGTTGCACAGTCGTAGAGTCGAAAGGAGAAGAGGAAGCGCGGCGCAGCGAGGCGGGCGGACGTGGGGTGAAAATTGCCCCTCCTCGACGAATCGGTCAAGGGTCCCCGTTTATAAAGATTTCTTATGGTTTATTCTTTTCCGAGAGTAATATGCAGTTATATACTATATGCAGGTGACCCAGTGTGGTGGAGCTGGGACATCCACGGAACATTCCAAGCTCGACGTCGGTGTGGTCGGCTGTGTTCCGTGCCACCTTGATTTCTCCGGCGCGGCGCCAGTGTCTCGTCACCACCAAAAATCACCACCTGTCGACCCTTGATCGCTGGAAGGCACCGAGTCGTCTCGACACAAGCAACACTGCTCTTCCTTGGCATTGCATTACGACACTTGATCCTCCTTCCCCCTCCTCTTTTAATTGCCCTCTGGTTTTCTAGTGTCGCCTTTGCTTCCTTCTTTCTCCCCATGAGCTGAGTCGACACAGTCATCCGGTTCGCAAACAATTCCTGCCGCACATCAATCTTCTGGTGATCTCTGCTGACACGTCGCTGCTGCTTTTTGCGCGCAAAAAGACCTAGGGGATTCCTTCCTCTGGCGGATCACTGCTGCAAAATTTACCTTACGCAAGGAACGTGCTTGTCTGCACACGGTCGAGACTAGAGCTCAAGAGCACCGCACTTGCTATCGCATTGCAAACATGGCGTCGAGTTCCGACGAGGGCGAGATCATGGAGAATGACGCCGTGGATTTGAAGGCAACTTCACTGCCGAAGAAGTTTGAAGGAAACGGTGTTGACCGTCAAGACAGAACTCGAGATAGACGCTCGGCCTCCAACTCCCCCGAGTACGACAGTTCCGCCAGAAACAACTACCACTTTTCGAGACGCAGCCGTTCCCCCCCGCCGCCCCGCGGCTTTAAGCGCGCCCGTGACGAGCGTGACTACGCTGGTGGAGGACGACAGGAAACCCGCCGCTTCCGCGTGCATTACGAAGACGGCGCAAGGGATGACTACCGCCGCTCACGCGTATCGTACGAAGACCTAGACCGCCCGCCGTCCCGCGGCTCGAACACCAGCTACGACGGTCGCGACAGGAACCGCAGCCGCGAGAGAGACGCATACAGAGACAGGGACAGGGAGCGCGATCGCGAGAGGGACCGATACCCGGATAAGAGACAGCGTAACCGTACCAGGTCGCCCTACCGGCCCCCGCGCGGTGAGCGAGGAGGTCGCGATGATCACTACGCCAGAGACGGCGGGCGCGATCGTCTCACCGATTCGTTCCGCGGCTTAAAGTACGATGACAACAGGGACCAAAACGCCCGAAACGGAGGCGCGGCGCCGAACGGGGTCGCTGTAGGAATGGATTCGCGCGCTTCCAGACAAGATGCTAAACCTGTGAAAGACTCTGCAGACCGTGAAAATTCTGCGGCTTCTCGCTCTCGGGGCCAGGCGTCCGTCTCCCCTCCTCCCTCCAAGAGGACTCGGTTCCTGCTAACGCCCGACGATAGCGCTCCGCAGGTGGTGGAACCTGATCATAGCTACGATGAGCCCGAGGAGCCGATGGTTATTGACGAGGAAGCTGAGATCGAACGCAGGCGACGACGCCGTGATGAGCTACTCGCAAAGTCTAGTTCAGCTACTCCACTGCTTATTCACGCATTGCATGCGACTGACAAGTTGGCGATTCCATCACCAGCCCGGGAAAGCACTCCAACAGCGGATATCGGTACCCCAGGCACAGGTAAGAATCTTGTCCTCCAGAGTTTGACAGAGGCTAAGTTTGCAGACATTGCCTCACCAGCCCGAGACGGGAGTTCGCCTGGCGCTATTGACATTGTGAATGAGAGTGACCTCATGAACACTCATGGCGGTGGCGACGCAATGGAAGAGGACGGCCCCTCAGCTGCAGATTACGATCCCACGGCCGACATGAAGGAGGACGAGAGGCGCGATGAACTGCGACACGGCAACGTGGGCGTTCATGGCGAAGCTCCTGACACAAAGCACGAGACGCAGCCACAGGATCAACCTCAGGAAGCCCCCGCGAAGAAGTCATCAGAAGACGACGACGACGATGACGATTTCGACATGTTTGCTGAAGACTTCGATGATGAAAAGTACGCCGCACCTAACCCTGTCAAGGTAGCTGTGGTGGACGAGTCCAAGGCCTCACCCGCTCTTGCGCCGACAAACGGAGCCATTCTCGAGGGCGACGACAAGGACGGTTATTACAAGCTTCGCATTGGCGAGATCCTCAACGGCCGTTATCAGGTCCAGTCGGCTTTGGGCAAGGGTATGTTTTCCGGCGTTGCGCGGGCCGTCGACATTACGAACAAGAAACTGGTCGCTGTCAAGATTATGAGAAACAACGATGCGCTGAGGAAGGGAGGTTTCACCGAGATTGCCATTCTGCAAAAGCTCAACGACGCCGATCCAGAAAATCGCAAGCACATTGTCAAGTTTGAACGGCATTTCGACCACAAGGGCCACCTGTGCATGGCGTTTGAGAACCTGAGTCTTAACCTGCGCGAAGTGCTCAAGAAATTCGGCAACAATGTCGGTATCAACTTGAGTGCTACGCGAGCATACGCCCATCAAATCTTCATTGGCCTTGCTCACATGCGCAAATGCAGTGTCATCCATGCAGATTTGAAGCCTGACAATATCTTAGTGAGTACTGCCAATGTTGGCTGTTGGACAAAGAACTCAACTAACCGTCCGTAGGTCAACGAGAGCCGAAATGTGCTCAAAATCTGTGACTTGGGAACCGGCATCGACAAGTCTGATGCAGCCACAGCGCACAACGAGATCACCCCGTACCTAGTCAGTCGCTTCTACAGAGCACCAGAGATCATTCTCGGTATGCCCTACGATTACTCCATCGACATGTGGTCCATCGGTGCCACCTTGTACGAGCTGTACACGGGCAAAATCCTCTTCGCGGGCGACAGCAACAATCAGATGCTCAAGGCCATCATGGAGATCCGTGGCAAGATCACGCCAAAGCTCTACAAACGGGGTCAACTCTCGGCGATGCACTTTGATGAAATGGGCAACTTTGTCAGCATGGAGCGGGACAAGGCGCTTGGAAAGGTACGTTATTGGTTCGTGGTCTCGGTGTTTGTTGTTTTGCTTGCATCTGTCTTTCACCCCTCTTCCCCATATCTCAACGCCTCTGCATTCTGCCTCGTTTCAAAACTTGAACCCATGACCCAATCATCCCTCAGAGTTGCTATTTTGGCCGACGGGGTCCCTAGATGGGTCTAGTGGAGGCGGAGTGCGGCTGTAAGCGCTGAGGCGCGGCTGCACATGCGTACGCATGTATCCACCCTCCCACAGCTATGCGGGCCGTCCGTCAGTCAAGGCCGAGCGCGTGCCCGGAACGCTCGCGTCGCGATGCCGCCCAGCTGACGGGCTGGTCGTCGTCGACATTAGACCAGTCACGATACTGTTGGAAGCAAACACTCCGGACTGTTCGGACTCGCATGACTTGCTGGGGTGGAATGGTACCCCAGTATGGAAGGCCCGCGGACGAATCCTCCCATCTTCGGAGGATGAGCTGTCTCAGGGACTGTTTGTCACGGCCGCATCATCTCAACTTCGCTCCATACCTAGTTTCCCCTACATACCCCCCTGTTTTTTTGCCTCTCCGCCACCCCTTGTGTCCTGCACAAAGGGTCCAACGTGTCGGGTCGATTTGTCAAAGTTGATAGGAAATGTTTCCCCCGACCGGAGGGTCCCTCCGCAGCAAGCCTATCCCGGTAGGCCCCTGCTACGCCATTGCATCACTACCTTGTTTTGTCGATGGGCCGATGATGGGCCCTTTTGTTTGAAAATAGTAGTAGAAAAGTTCAGCTGGTCGCTAACCAACATCCTCACACAGACAACCGCCAGGGTCCTGCCCGTCGTCAAACCAACGCGTGATCTGCGCACCCGCCTCTTTGCCGCGTCAGCGGGTATGAACGACGCCGAGACGAGGGACCTGAACCATTTTGTCGACCTGCTCGAGCACTGCTTGACGCTTAACCCGGAGAAGAGGATCAAGCCCGCCGACGCGCTGAGGCATCCCTTCTTTACTGCGAAGGCCGCCGCGCCTGTGAAGAGATGAGGGGCGTGGCGAGTAGTCCCATGTTGGGAAGACGCCGTTGGGTGTGTAGGATGATGACAGGGGTGTTGTGGTCCCTTGAGGCCACTGCTCTGATTCCAGGGTCACCCTGATCAACCTTGGTCGACAACCATAGCTAGGCAGTGTGGCGTGTAGATGTTTGTATGAGGATAAGGGAGGCACAACTCTTACTGCGAAGCGCCTCTTTAGACACAAACAAAAGCATTAGATGAAATGGAGACTACATTGCGTTATGACATGATATGATCACTCCAGATCCGCAGAGTGCCATTTTGCGGAAAAGCCTCGGTATTGGCTTCAGGTACCTTGAGCAACAATGTGCCTAACCTTGGGTGATATTCACCATGGAGTCGGTTGAATATCCACACAGCGCATCCTTCATTCTCATCGCGAGGAAACGTGGCGGGACAGAAGAGAAGTTGCTGTAGTACTAGCTCAAGAGGCCTGGTGCTCTTCCGCTTCCTATCCGAGCATCATGTCCACGTACCTCTAGCCTATGCCTCTCTCTCACCGACCTTGCGAAGTATGGAGCGGGTGAACCAGCGCATTCATGGGTGAATGCTTGAATTCCTGATTCTTTTCTGATTTTTATATTTCGGTTCCCGTGTCTATCCGTGCTCGTAACAAGACTTGAGATATCTAAAGAGACTGGACCCTAATAGACCCGTTTACTATGGTAAACCTTTGTTGAGAATGGATGAAAAGGGTCGAAGATGCGAGCCAGTTGGCAGATCTGTCATAGTGGAGCGAGGGTCCAAGGGCTCGCGGGGATCGAGATATGGAGTCGAGAGGCTCCAAGTGAAAAAGGGGTTAGGGGTTCAGGAGGTCAAGGGTTCGAGTATCTAGAGGAAGTATGTCAAAGACATGAATAGCACAGAGGCTCTCATCTAATCTCCAGCGTTCGGGTAAACCACTCTCTCCGTCCGTGAGGTTCGAGTATCCGGGGCATACGCCGTCAGTGTCCCACCCAAGGTGCGGAATAGAGATGTCACGTCATGTCATGTCAAATCTTTGATGGGAACTTTTTTCCCCCCGTGCAAAAGGATTGTCTATCATGCGGCGGGGTTCGAGAACTCCGAGCCCGTGATGCTGTTCTCCCCTTCTGTTTTGTTTTGGGCTATAGCGCATTGTCTTGAGCTGTACATCTTGGGAGGGCAAGGGAGGATTGGGACTCCTTTGAGAGACTGAGATATGAGCTTGAGTCCGAGTGGGTAGGAGCGAGTGTGAGCAGGAGCATGGCGTGTGGGTTTCGATAAATGAGTTAGATGGGATCTCCTTTCGGGGCCAAGTGAGCAAGTTAGGCAGAGGGGCTAAAAGGAGTAACACCTTGGAGGGTCCAGTGTCCAGCTTAACGGAGGCCGAGGCGCCTCTCTCTCTCTCGCCAGCGATTACTTGAGATATGGCGTAGCTACTTGTTCTTGATTCCAGAGCCTAGATGTGTCATACACAGACTCCAATTTCTCCGGGAAGCATTTCCAACATCTCAGTAGGTGTCACCACAAGTCTGATGACCGCATGAGATGACTTTTTAAGGAATAGATATCTAGATGACCTGGGGTCAGGAACCATAAGTGTACAAAGTTGCCGTCTCTTACTACCTTCTACAGGGCAATGAAATGATTTGTTTCTTTGGGTGTATCGCATCTTCGTGACTGGAGACTGGCCTAGCCCACACACGCAACGCGAGGCTGAGATGCCTCGTACCGCTTGTGGAGAGTTGCGGCAATGATAATTACATCAACAACGTTGAAAACGTTCCAACGAGGGTGAGTCCACGTGATGCAGTGAGAAAATACCGTTGGCGATATGACGCTTCACACTAAAGCATCACAAGGCTATATTCGCCATGAGTCCAACCATAGTAAACATTTGGGAAAAGACCATTATATCTAGGTTCACAAAATAAATCACTGGCCTTCAACCCTCATAGAGTACAACTTCAAACGCTAGAAAAATGAGCAATCTTAGTTTCTCATTCATTTTGAGAAATCGTAACACGGAAAGCCAGCTCATTTGTAGTCAGTCTCACTGGGCAAATAACCAAGTCTCATCCAGAGACGAAATGAGAAAAGTGTCGCGAGGCAGAAATTCGGTAGCCAGCAGCTCGCGCGGCATCACACACCAAAGCAACCACCCCGAGAACAAAACCACTCGTCTTCTACGACATGAAGGCTTTGTCAGGGCCGGGCCGGATCCTGTGTGAATACACAGCTGCACACCGAACGGGTAACGCGCTCTCTGCCAATCGCGATATCAAAACATCCAGCCTTGCGGCCCCATGTAAACCACAATCGGCACCCTCACATCAATTCACACGCTATAAAAACCTCGACTGCATGAAATTTAACAAATTAAACCGTACAAAAGACGTCTAAATCCAGTCTGACTCATCCAGCGCTCGTTGCGAGGAAAGAGCCAACAAAGTCGTCGCTACCTGACCCCAACCCGTAGCCTTGGGACGGGAACCGCCCGTGCCTGGAGGCCACATACCTCAAAACGCAAGGCTACGCCCAGCCACCATGTGCAGCACGGCATGGATCCAGGCAGAGTATCCAACGTGGGAAACGCGGAAGGCAAAGCAAACTCCATACGCGCGCGCGAGAGAGACGCCGGCAGAGATGTCACGAGCGGCTTCCTCGCTAGCCAGACTGGTAGGACACCCGTCTACTGGCGTTGGCTTGTACCTATTCACTCGTTGAACGCGTCCGAATTGATCCTTCCACTGCTGGTGGCAGCAGAATAACATTGAGGCAGTAACTCTACATCTTAAGCTACGTGCATGTTTGCCGCCCATAGAGAAGGATGGAGGCACAGTCTCATATGCATCGCTCCCGAACCACCAGACCTCGCGGCCCCCGCCTGTCGTGCAAGCAGCTGACGGGCACCCTCGAAATTGACCTTTCAGGTGAATCTCAGGTGAGCAGCAGCAGCAGCAGCGGGGGCGGGCGACAACGGGCGTTGGGGATCCTTCTGGCACAGCGCCGTCTCGAGGTTGCACAGCATCAATGACGGCTGCTGGAGCCTGGGAAAGAAAATTCATACACTTTCTTGGAAGACGAGGCGTAGCACCTTCCAACAGATGGTGCGGCGACCGCGGCTGCGTGCTTATGGCCGACCGCAGCGGGCATCAGTGGAATATAGCACGAGACGGCAACACGGGATCCCCTCCAAGTTCCTCATGTGCGGAGAGAGACGAGAGGCCTTGGCTGAGTTTGGTTGCTGAACAAAGTCACGTAGGGCATATCCCGTTCGACGGAAAGCCCGTAGTCTGGAGGCAGAATGCGGGATCCCGGTGGCTGGTATCCCCATGCACCAGCAGGATTGACCTGCCTTACCAAGTACCGAAGAGGTTGGACCAAAGGGCACAGGTGTGTGAGGCGAGCGAGGAAGAAGGGGAGAGAAGTGAGAGATTATCACGATGCCGTCGTTGCACGGCGCCGGGAAGCGGCAAGTCATGGATGTACGTTGTTGCTTTGATGCGGCCAACCGGCGGGTACTCGCACTGCCTAGTCGTGGACGCTGGATGGTGCGTAACGGCGTCGGCCGTGTCCCCCCCCCGTGGTGCCCCCCGGTAGTGCCGAACGGAGATGGCGGGGGCCTCAATCAATGAGGCGGGGTAGAGCAAAGGGAGAGCCGGGGACGGGGGCCCTACCTTGGGGACTGACAGCCCTGCTGTGACCTGCCGCCCTGTATCCGTGAGGGATAATGTGAGTGGCAGAGTGGTGCATCCGTATACCTACCCTGCTGTGAGTACGGAGTATATCCGTAAGGCACTGATCAACGGCGTCGACGTCGCAGGGTCTCCCGTTCGAAAGACGTCCGCTTCGCTAGGGCTGTCATCGCCCGCTGATTAACCATGAACCAAGGACCGTTGGGACCAACCAGCCAAGAAAACTCTCTGGATAACTTTTCCAATGATCGTCGTCAGGCGTTGGTTGGTTGGTTGGACGTGTGTCGGGCACCCATCTTTGCTGCTCCATTCCCTGAATGCCTCACAGGCTTACCCCCTGGGCCATGCTCTCATCATCGTCGTCGTTCGACTCGCCGTGTTGGGACGTAACTGGTCGAGGTGGAATTAGGTTCGGCACCCGGCGGAGAGAAAGAACAAGAACAACGTTCAATGCCACCCCGGACGTTGCATGATTGATCGACCCCTCCGAGATGGACCCTGAAATCCTCCACAGTAGTAGGAGTGTAGGACCAACCTGTTTAGTGGCATACCTTCGTTGGCAGGGTTGGTCAAAATCTCTGGGTATCCAAGAAAAGAATGTGCGTACCGCAGATCGGCCATCCGAGGCTTGCTGGTGCTGCATTCTTTCGCGCGCATTGAGCAGATCGAGTCGATCACCAAAGGGGGGGGGGGGGACGGCATTCTCCTGAAAGCTGACGGGCTGAGGGGTTGACGCCCGCCGGCCGTTTGGCTTATTGAGCCGCGGCGCACCGTTGGGACGGTCGTCTAGATTGGTTGTTGGACCCTGAAGCATCGAGCCCTTCTAGGTAGTGGAATGCCGTCACGTCGTTTGGCTTGTCTCGCCTCGGGAGACGAGAGGAGATATGACAGAATACACGCGCCATGGAACCACGCTTGACGCAAGGGGTGAGGTCATTGAACGGTCCTGGCGCACGCCGCCGCCCTTTTTAGGGGTCCAATCCCTCCTCCCTGGCCTTCTATTGCTCAACAGACCTCATGCTCTCTGAGAATATCGAGCTGGGACTATTCTCGTGAATGGCGGTGGTTTGAGCGTTCGTTTACTCCTTGTGGCACCTAGCTCGATGCTCGAGACCACCACCCGCGTTGAGATGGACGGGCGGTGTGGTGTGGGATTTGGTGATCTGCAGTACGGGACCCAATAACGTACTGACGGCCATCCGAAGGCGCCGTGACGAGACACTGGCACGCCTGGTCGTCCGTCCCAGGACCGCTGCAGATCGCTTATGCCATCGATCTTCTAGGTACCAAGATAGCCCCAGTACTGATTGGCATTCGACGACCCCTCTCGCGGGCCTGTGATGCGGACCATGAGATCACAGCTGCACAACACAGTGAAGATCTCTACCGTATGGCGAATGAGGAAGACGTCCTCTCCACAACCCTCCTTCCTTCTGCAGTCCTTTGCGACGGTTGGCTCGGAATCGCTGTTGGAGAATGAGAATCTCGATGGAGGTGTCCTCATAATCAGGGGATCGTTTAGCAATGCGAAAGTCGAACCCTAGGGGGCTTTGAGATCTGCAAATCGATATGCGAACTACCAGGCCATGCGACATTTACTCCATGTCAATGACATGTTGATGATCGATCACTGACCTGTGGCTGCCCACACCGCTAACATCGGTCATCGAGAATCCTCTTCCCATTCCATATCCAATGCTGGTGCATCCCAAACAGTCCTGGGGAGCATTTCATCTTGGCTCTCGTGCGGCAGTGCTTCACCTATACGAAGGCTGTATGGAGCTGACGAGGCTGTGCCCGTGTGTTTGAATCGTGGATCGTGAACCGGAGAAAGTGCGGGTTACCTTCCAGAATACGGAGTACTCCCCACTGAATTATCACTATGTGGTCTGTATCAAAGTTCCCATTGCAGTGGATAGGTTGGATGCTGTGTGGGGCGCGTCTGCAAGACTTTGAGAGCTGCCGGATTTTGATTTGGGTTTGCCATTAACAACTTGTTTCGTTTGGAACACTTCGTTTTATTGGCTGGTGGTTCATTCATGATTCGAGGGAATCTTTATTATCGAGATAGGGTTTCCTTGCAGCCTCCGCGGCTTGCCATCAACTCTGCAAACCGCTCAGGCTGCAGAATAGACTGGGCTTCCATGCACAGCATACTCCGTACTCCGTACAACCATTCAGAGAGGTATCAAGCATGGATTGACTCTTGAAATCCGAGTCGATTCGACTGCATCCATCCATGATCCAGACCACAGGCGCCCGGGCTAGCCGGTGCGTAGCTGTGCATGTGGGCTCGTAAGGGTTGGTTGGATGTTGTCCCTGATAGAGTGCAGCCTCCGTGAAGCCCACTCACACAGTCACACTGCCCTCGACTTGCAGCATCCATTGACAAAGTAGGATGTGAGGGCGAAGGACTTCAACCTGATCGTGATCACTGACGTGCTGCGGTGCGAAGAAAGGCCGTGCCAATGTAGCACAGATAGCCGAATGCCCGTATTAGAGGTTGAGTCACTTTTGTAGCTAGCTCCTCTGTGCGTCGAGTTGTGATGATAACATCGCGACACGCCGCGCTTGTCTGTTTGCCCGAGTCCAAGGCGGTAAGGGCTCCAAAGTCACAATCGTGCCCGTTGAGTTCGCCAAAAAGATTGAAAACACGCGTACCTTACGGGTAGCGCCATTTGTCAGCCTCGACAGCCTCAATTTGCATAGTTCTAGACCGCCATGGCGCGCAGTCCCTTGACCTTAGTTTGTTGTTTGGCAGCGCCTCGTCGTCAGAGTCTCACCTTGTCCCAAGACCCCTAAATCGGATGTGCCTTCAAAGTTGCGGTTTTTGGGAGCGAAAAGGCCGTGTCTCCACGTCTTTGGCGCCGCACCGGGCTTCCACGAGCACGGATCGACCATGACACAATCCCGCAGGGATAGAGAGACATTGCTCTCGCGAGAATCATCCAGTCCAAGTGTCGTCTGGTCCGTGAGTTTAGCTACAACGTGTGTGCTGAGTAACATGCCCGACGCATTCGCTAGCGCAGGGGATGGAATGGAACACTATTGGAAGAACCAGCCGCGTTCACCTGACCTGGTAGATTTTGACTTCCGGCGTTTCTGTCATGAACGATTCCGAGACGATACGAAAAGGAACGGCCGACCGAGACTAAGCTGCCGGGATTCCTCGGTGTGACTATGGAGCCCCTGGCTGCAGCGCCAATCCGGCCATCAACGGTTCAACAGTCGTGGATACTATCCGCACTTTTTGCTTCTGCGGTCCGCCTACGAGTGCTCGGCTGAACGCAAAATTGCGATCTGCTCGGCAAATGAAAAGCAAGTAGGCAGACTTGCGTGGTTGCCAAATGATCAGAGGCAGATGTCGATTTCACCTCAACAACTGACTGCCGCTGCGAACTTTGGCTAGCCGAAATCCGACGAGCACTGAGAGAAAAGCAAACGCAGGCTTCTCTGTCGCACAGCAAACCCCCCCCCTCCCCCAAAAAAAAAAAAAAAAAAAAAAAAAAACCGTTCTCTTCTTCCCTTGCGTTCGCTGGCCATGCTTAGCTTTTTGGAGAACAAAATTGCTATGTGGTTCAGGACGGGGGCGGGTGTTATGCGAAAGGTTGCAACATGCTTCCAAGAAAGTTCCATCTCACCGGCGGACCGTCGAATTTCGGTCAACCCTTGTCAAGCGATTCAAGTCTATCGCCTTATGGCGGCCGTTAGCGCCGCGTTTGTCTCCCCTTGCCCACCACTTCAGGAGAGCCTCATTAACACGAGGCAATACGTTGCAAGCTGTGGTAAACGTCCCGCAGCGTTTTATCCTTGTTGAGTCAAGTCGCAGAATGATTTGATGAGCGCTAGGCCCTGATCGTGGTTCAGGTTCCGTAGCCGATGGAGTGTATATGATCGGCTTATTTTGCAAGGTTGCGCTGCGGGTCATTTATTGGCAGAGAATATTCGTCTGCGCGTAGTGTGTACGGAGTAATACTGTATCCAAGGCTTAGTGATGGTCTCGTTCAGACTCCAGAGTTCACGATACACAAGTCCAGGGTGCCATCCATCCTAAGGTAGCGAGGATGGGTAGCGACAAGGGCATCGTCAAACAAGAGAATAACCAGGCGAGCGCGCTGATTGGAAACCACACCAGCGGATCTGCTTACGTTTTCAAAGCAGCCCCGGGATGCCGGGCATCGCATGAATAGATTGGCCCAGTGAGTGACAGGTTGGCCTGGTCTTGCATGTTTGAGGTGTGTTGCGAACAACATCGGACTACTGGAAAAGTCCAAGCTCAAGCCGGGAGAAAAAAAAAAAAAAGGGAGACAAGGCAGGATCCTGATCGGATTGCTGAGGTGGCTTTGGTGGTCACCACAAACCCTGTCTTATTAACAAAGCAAGCCACGCCTGTGCAGCTGAATATGTGGTTGAGTTGCCTCATGCAAAAGTTTGAGTTTGTACGGGAGCGTGGTACCCAGTTCGCTGCACGGCAAGAACGTGGGGGATCTCCTCCGCCCCGGTCCGGCAGAGACAGTGACACCTGATGGTGCAGCAAGTCTGTGGTAGACTGAGTCTCAGGTCCGTGAGCCATGCTTGTGTTTCTCGTGATCTCTCAGCCGCGGAGGTTAAGCATGTAGCGGAGAACGACGTGAGCCACGTCTCCATACTAGCTATCGTCTTTTGGGGCAGAATGTGGGTTTGCTCAAGCAAGGAATGCCTTCGACTCTTGAACATTCGAACAACGTTGCCGAGGAATGCTGGCTCGGTTGCGTCCGCTGTTGATTTCGGGGTTGGCTGGAGAGCCGAGTCACACGCTCCGAATATCCCCTCAGTCCGCCATGGGAAATGTCTAGCTGCTCTAGGATGCCTGCATCGGGACAGTAATTAGGTGTTCCGAGGATCACCAAACGCATGCCAGAGCTTGCCACGCCGACTCACGTGTTGGGTGAGTTCAGACCAGTAGGTTAGCTGGCTTCTTGATGCAATTCCCTCGACAACAGGACGTTTCTGACTAAATGCCTCAAATCGATATTGCAAGTCAAACGCACGCATTCTCCGAATGGATCGCCAACGGCGGTCGCCTAAAGGTCTGACGTTGGATGCTATCGCATTGTCTGGCTGTGAGTGAGTATCGATCACTGCCGGTGTTCCTAGGAGGGAAACCACGATGCCTTCCAACATGGGCATGGCGTCTCTTCTCGAGCTCGAATACGATAATGCGGTATCGCCAGGAGTAAGATCAGTAGACGATCCTGCGAAAAGTCCCATTGGTAAAGTCCAGCCGCGAGGATGCTGAAGTCTCCGTTGTCCAGCGGAGACGTAAACAGCCGGTCCAAGTCAGCTAGTATCGAGAACTCGATAGAAGCCGGCATGCAAACCCTCAGAGAGCAACCACATCTATAGTGTTGAGCGAATCAGAGACGAAGAAGTAGACCCCAAGCTGTTATGTCTCAAAGCACAGACGACGGCGTGGCTCCGGCAGCGAGCTTAATCCCGAAAGGCCAAGACAATATGAGCGCTAATCTGCGTGAAATCGAGCGCATACCTAGATTGACGACCTAGCCACGTCGGATTGGTTGGCTTGCACCAAGCCCATGCAACAGGGGCATGTGGATTTCGACCGCCACAAACCATCTGCACTGTGACAGCCTGGCTGACTCAAGTAAGTCAGCTCAGGACGATGTAGTGATGGCGCGATATGAGGCCATACCGGTTTTAGTTCTTGTACGGATCGCTCTTGGTCTGCGGGGGACGGGACGCAGGGAGAAGAAGTGCTTGACGGGCGTCTGCAGTGTGAATGTACTAGACACCAACGATGCCGAGAAAAAGCAATTATGGTGTCGGTGGTAAGGTAAAAGAATCGGTGGTGGTTTCGAGGATCGCTGTCAATGAAATCATTTCCGTTCCTTGACCTGGTCAAGACCCCCAGCTCCACGTTTGTTTGAGTGAGATGGAAGGGCACCCCCAGAAAAGCCGAGATTGGGTATGCGCACCAGCATCTAGGTCTTCAATATTGCGGAGGTCGGATACGGATGCCCGGTGCAGCCTTGTTCTTGAACACGGAGCGGCATCTTGCCTCATCTAGATTGAAGGATCAGCAGCGGACGAGGGAGTGCGGCCCTGCGTGCTGACTGCCGTTTCACAATCGAGTCTCGCTTGAGAGCTCCCTGTGTACGGAGCATTTGACGGTCCTTGGCCCTGCACCGGAACACAAACAGACGGAGCTGAGGCTTGTGTCGCCAATCAAGTGGGTTCCACGATGACTCCTCCCTAGACTCCGTGGCTGGAGCGCCTGCGAGCTTGTCTCGAGCGGCAGGACGTGCGTGCGTGCTCAAGCCATTCGCATTGTGACTTGTTGGACGGAATTCGGATGGTTGGAAAATAACCCGAGATGTTATTGCTCCCAAGAGTTGCCGGCGGAGGAAACGCAGCCGATTTTTGTCTTGCAGTGTCTGGTAGCAGAAGGCGGCTGCTGGGATACATTCTTCTATTCGTGTTTGTTTATAACGCATCGGTATATCTTCGTCTTTGATAAGTGTATGCGTGTGTTCCGCTTCCCGCTATAGGCGATAGGTAGTCACAGTGTTTGAACACTCGTAGGTATTTGTCTCTCCCTCCGCCACCATCTCAGCCTGCTAGCTGTTGTCCGTTGCTCCTTAGGCACGGTTGCTGTTACTGGCTCCTGGGCTCTTGCCCATCTGATGATGGCGATGCTGACCACGATGCTTGGCCCGGCTGTTTCTCGTTTGCAGTAGCGGACACACTTGGCGCCTGGAACCGGGTTGGCCAAGTTGGCCCTGACTGGGAATGAGAAGGGCGAGAGACAAACAAGGTTTGGGAATGTCGCAGAAGCGAACCGCTGCTCTTAGCACGGTGTATTATTAACGTGGTGTTATACCGGGGCCGTCGCCATGTCGGTAATACGTGTAATGCAGAGAGCGAAAGAGCGTGGGGTATCCGAAGGATAGCGTCGCAGAGATTCGAATAGTCGGGATGATATTCCTAGGGTAAGACTGAGATTCAGTATGTATTCGTACGAATATGGGCAGGGACCGACGACGGACAAGGGCCAAGGACCGAGCTGCAAGCCTTGAAGTTGGACGGGCGGACCAAGAGTTATGGAGAGAGGGAACGAGTTAGACGATGAGATCTGACAGATGCGCTAGCCCGGCTGCGGTAAGCGTTTTCCGTGATCGATGCAGTTCCTGCAGACCGCTTGTTTCTTTTCTCAGATTGATGGCCTGAGGCATCATGAGCGATATTCAGGCAACTACGGGTCATTGGTACACTATGCATGGGAAGGGGGAAGGAAGCATCCGGTGGGACCGCGGCAGGAGTGGCAGGGAGCAGGAAAGTGAGGCAGCCACGGGCTGGCTGAGGTGGATCTATCACGTGATCTATACGTCCTCTATCCAAGACCCAGCGAGAAGCTGGGAGGGCGGCAACCAGCCACCAGCACCAGCCACCAGATAGCCACCGGTCGTGACCATCTTGCAGTTGTCTGCGCCTTCTTTTTGTCCCTCCTTCTTCCTCTCTGCCCCTTCCCGTTCCTTGAATCCTTCCTGCAAGTGTGACTTCAGACCGTAGAGGGCGCCTTGTTTTCTGATTGGTCAAGAAGGCTGTTGGGGATAGTCTAAAGTAGCACATGATTGGTTAGAGAATCGATGGGGCGGGGTGGTAAGGAAGGAAGGAAGGAAGAAACTCCAACGAACACCAAGAAGAGTGCCTAGAGGAAGGACCTAACTACCTACCTTAGCTACCTGTCTCCATCGTCATCTTCCTCAATCTCACCCCTTGCAGGACTGCACATCGTTTTGCTTCTCGGTAGTACGGTATGCTGCAATTCTCTCCATCACAATCAGTGGCTTGCGGTCGGACGTCGTAGCCGTGCTCGAAGAGTTTCTGTTACTCTTACACTCCGCTGTCTTCGGATATTTCGGTCTGCTTACGGTTACAGTGTCGCATAGACAAGCAAACCATCGTGATCGACGAGAGAACCACTTTCACGATACTAGGGACTGGCCTACGGATACACTATGTTCCTCCTGGACTGTCATCGCAGGCTCCATCGAATCCCAGTCTGACATTATCACATCAAGCTCGCTACCAATCGACCGGCCTTTATCTTAGCAGTGGCATCATAGCCTGCCACACCACTATGAAGGAGCGCATCATGAATGATGAGTCTCTGCTTTACCAACTTCCTGAGCGGAATCCCGTCTTACCGTCCATCTACCGCTAGGCGGCACGAGTAGTTCGACCGAAGAGACAGACGCTCGTGGAATCAAGACTTAGACTCTGCCTGGACCAAAACCCAGAGCCCGGGAGGCGCGCGCTGGTTGCTCTGCTCAGCTGTGCTTGCAAACTTGCCGATGGCCACACTGGCGGGGGAGTTGGGACTTCACAAGTTCACACACACACACACACACACACACACACACAGACGATGCTACACTACATCGTGAACCACGGGCGCTATGCTACAACTGGACGCCCGAAATTGCCTATTGGGCTGGCGAGATCAGCCTCTGCAGACCATCATATGGGCCCCCCGTGGCCCCTTCACCATCATGATCCATCATGATCCATCATAGCTCCGTCGTCGACAGCCTCACTCGTCGGGAGCTTGCGCCCAGGGACCCCTGTACAGCGACCCCATCAAGTCGTTACGAGGCTGCTCTCGCTCGCCTGCAGCCTCTGCATTTCTTCCATTCCCGAATCGCCCGGACTGGCCAGTGGCACGCACACATAGCCCATGGACTACGCTAGAACGGCACAAGGTGACAAGACTCCAGAGACGCTGCCACTGCGCACCACACAGACCACATACTTTTTGACACCACACCATCACGACCATACCACCCATGTCTTGTCGACGTTCGACTCTCTCTCAAGTCTCACCCACACTCTCAACAACCAGCTCTCTCTTTCGCGGCTCGCCTGCATCGCTGTGCCAGAATGACACACGATCCTGGCCTCAGGCATGACTGCTTCAACCTCAAGCAACCCTGACAGCGAATCAACCCCAGCCAGTCCCTCCCCGTTCTGCCCGTTTACCGCTCCGAGCCACACAGACGTGCAGCATATTGCTGCAGACTGCAAAGACCTATGCATCATACGCATCCAAGCAATGCAGCATTGCGGCGTTCATCAAGCCTGGATTGCGGCGTGCAGCGTCACGGCGTGCCTAGGGTCAAGTGTACGGCAGATTCCAGAGAAACGAAAAAAAAAAAGAGAAAAAAGAAAGAGAGAGACCTCACAACATCAATCTGCTTGTCCATTCAGCGCCCGGCACGCTCAGGTTGCTTATCCACTTTCTTTTCATGGAACTCAATCCTGGCCCGCCCATTCAAACGGTCGTTCGCAATCTCAGGCCCATGTGCGACCCATGACCACGTTGGCCGCCGTCACTGGCCGGGATCAAAAGCCCATTCCAGAGGCAAACCGAATCCTCCTTCGCCCGCCCTGAGTCTCCACACGCACCGAGTCCAGGCCTGCTGTTCCGCTTGCTGCTCCGTAGATGCTGGAGTTGCCGCTGCTTCGTCTCCGGCCAAGCTGGCCACGGGCACGCAAACCCAAGGCCGACATGGAAAGATTTGGCCGTAAATTTCGAGGCACCACACTCCGCAGCTCATCATTTGCAGAGAGGCTACCGTGTCCTCGACTCCGCCAGCCTTTACCTACTGCGTATTCGTACCGAGTCTGAGTGATGCCTATGGCGCTAGATCCGACCCCACGGTCCTGAACCCGCTCTTACACGTCTAATCATGCTCTCAGTCTCGAGTCTACTGTCATGCTCTGATGAGACCTCAGAGGCTCAGACGGGCTCGGATTGACCGGCCAGAACGGCCCACAACCAGTTCGAAAAGAAAAATATCATGGCAATGATCCGTCCGTCGTCAAGCGAACTTGGTCTCCTAATCGAGTCGGTCGCGGACTGCCAGCAACCAGACCAGCAGACATAGCCAGCCAGCACATAACTGTGCACCCGCAAATGTGAAAACCCCGTCGTTACTGTTTGGCAAAATATGCAGTCTACCCGGCCATTCGTATCGACTCGACCATACACAGTAGGTATAGAGCACTTAGCTCGGCACCAACTACTTCAATAGTCGCTTGTGCAGAACATTACTCATTGGCTCGCCTTACTAGCAGTCATGGTATTGACGCAAGCATCCTAAAGTGCTTCTCAATAGATGATTGGCCGTATCTATCCTTGTCGACCAATCATGGCGCTACAGGTGATCTACACTTCACAACTGTTGCTAAGAGAGAATGTGTGTGGTGTACGTACTCCGTAGTTGGTGCAGCCACAAGGTGGCCACCAGGTGGAAGATGACCGCTTGCGAAAAATCCGGAAGCCAATCAATGCTCCCGCGAAGGATGGATGGGAAGCGACGGGCATCCTGTGAGCCAGAGCCAGATCTGCTTAGCATTGATCCAGTCACCAGCCTGCGAGGCAGCATCTGCAACAGAAAGGCTGACCGGCCACCGAAGCCCACACTCATCAACTCCCGGACTTTATGCAAACAGCTTGCCAAGCGCCACAAAGGCTCCGACGTCAGCTACGAGACCATGACAGTGAGCCAATTAGGTCGCGGGTGGCACTATTGTGACTGGGCATCCCAAGTCGCCCGCTCTCAGTCGGTGTTTGGCGGTAGTCACAGATTACCCTGCTACCAGCTCTACCCGGTGTCAACAGCGTCTTTTTCGACCTCGAACCACGCGGCATTGATGATAGCTGTGGCTCAAAGTACGGGGCTCTGCAACAAGCCATAGCATACCACGTCGCTAGACCAGGCCGAATACTCCCAAGTCGCGGTGAAGGAAGACGTGTCTCATTCGATCATGGTTCGACTGAGATTCCATGCCCGGTTCCGACGTTCCCCCAAGGGGGTTTTGTTCAAGCGTGAGGCTTTCCTCCATTATCCTACGAAAATGGGGACGTTCGCCCTGCGGCAGGCGAGACAAGGGCAGGCTGGATAGAGAGAAGAATGGAAGAAGCTACACATCACAGGTCACAGGAGGCCTATGACGATGGCTCACTCAGTATCGCTTAGGGAGGGCGAGCGGTGGCAGCAAGAGCACGGAGCAGTCAGTCACCAACAAGGCACCGGGCCTCTGATTGACAGCGAGAAAGCTGAGAAGGGAAGTAAGTGAAGGGAAGGGAAGGGTAGAGCAACGGACAGTCTGTGTTCCCTCCGCCAGGGTCGTCCCATGAGTGCTTAGGAGGCGACGACTCACGCACGCCCCGTTTCTTCGACACCCATCGACCATCCGTTTCGTCTGACACACTCAGCCAGTAGCGGTGGCAGGGGTATATGGAGCACGGCTGGGGGTGGTGGATAAGAATCAATACACGAGAAGTGAGGGGTGACACTGCTCACACCCACTCACACCTCACACCCCCTTGGGACGGGGCCACTTTACCTGGTGCGTCAGACAATACCTGCTCGTAAATTGCGCAGAGACGCCAATCACGACTGCTAGTGGCATCCTGGTGGCTGCTCCAGCAGAGAAACTCTGCCGGTCACTTGTCCACGCCTGGGCACGACCACGCCCCCTTTGGCTCCACGCCCCCTCGGCCCTCTACCTACTGCGTAGCTCCAAGCCAGGCTCTCAGGCCTCAGGCTCTTCTATCAACTCTAACCCACTGGCCCGCTGCTCATGTCGAACTCAAGAATAGACGGTGCATTGGTGGATCCATGGCTAAGACATGGCAAGCCGCTCATCCCTGCTCTTCTAATATCGAAGACGACTGGGGTGTCCTTGGAGCCACCGGCCATGGTGGATGCTCCACGCAACGCACTTTGACATGGGTACGTAGCCGTAGCGCTAACATCATTTCGCCTCGTTCCTCATCGGGGTGGTGGCAGTCATTATCAACCACCCATATCCCACCACCGTACAACTGGCTCGGCTTGTCTCGAGACTTCAATCATCAACTTTTCCACCACGCTCCTTCCCGTCGACCTCTTCACATCTCTTCACGATCTTCGGGAAACTGGAATCTCAGTCGCCCTTCCACCTCCGCCTCACAACAGACACCGACCTTCACCGACCTCAGCTCGCTACCCATCCCGCACCAGGCGACAATTACCGTGTTTGACTCGTTGACTCGACGTCTTGCACTTTCGACCTTTTCTACTTCCTCAGACCGATCCATTCATAGGACTACCAACCCATCTCAGGCCGTAGGATAATAACCCAGGACTATTACTTTGGACTCCCAGGACATACCAACCCAAAGGACAAAGGCCGTTTCTACTTTTTTCTTCTTCTCTTCCACTTTGGATCTCGCCCTCGAGACCCATTACAAACCGCCAGAGAAAGGATTCCCATTTGGACCCGCAAAAATCACATAACATGCAGCATGTATCAGGATTTGGCTATCCCACCCCTCCCGCGTCGCCGGTGTACGACAACACAAAGTGTTCGATCCAACAACCCATCACGACAGCACCTCACTGCCAGGCACGATATGTCCCGCTAACACCAGAGGCGAGACTCGGAAGGTTTCTTGAGGGCAAGTTGCAGTTGCAAACCATTCTTGGTACTGGCGCATATGGCGTCGTGTACTCCGCAGTGGATGTCAAGACCGGAGTCCGTTACGCCGTCAAGTGCCTCAGCAAATTCAACCCAGATGGAACCCCATTGGATCGTCGACAGGTTGCCTTCCAGAACCGAGAGATTCGTCTGCACTACCTGGCGTCGGCCCACCCTAACGTGGTATCGATGCTCAAGATTGTTGATGACCCGGATTGCATCTATGTTATCTTGGAATATTGCCCGGAAGGTGACTTGTTCTTCAACATCACCGAGTGCGGTCAGTATGTCGGGAACGATGACCTCGCCAAGAGAGTCTTCCTGCAAGTATTGGATGCCGTGGAGCACTGCCATTCCCTCGGAATCTACCACAGAGACTTGAAGCCGGAGAACATTCTCGTTTCGGACCAAGGATCAACAGTCAAGCTTGCCGATTTTGGCCTCGCAACCTCATCCGACCGGTCAGAGGACTACGGATGCGGCTCAACATTCTACATGAGTCCAGGTAGGCCATCCACTCCCAGGAATTTTCCTACTTCTATCAAGCCCCCTGAACACCACTAACATGTCGCTTCTTTCCTTTTCTTAGAATGCCTGGATCACTCCGCCCGGAGACCTTTCTACTTCTGCGCACCAAATGATGTCTGGAGCCTCGGAGTCATCTTGGTCAACCTGACCTGCGGACGCAACCCATGGAAGCAAGCATCCTTTGAGGATTCTACTTACAGGGCTTACACCCGATGCCCGGAAACTCTGAAGAGCATTCTCCCCGTGTCGGATGAACTGAACGACATCTTGGGGAGGATCTTCACCCGTAACCCGGATCAGAGGATTACTCTTGCCGAGTTGAAGGCAAGAATCCAGGCTTGCTCCATGTTGACCATCCCGGCGACGCCGACAGCTGTGCTTTCGACTACCCAGGTTCCGCATGAGCATACTACCGAATACGTTACTAGCGAGGACACGATTGTCGACGACTACGATAATGCCCTCTCGCCTGCTTCCTCATCCTCGGACGAAGGATCTACCTGTTCTTCTGACGAGGGCTCGCTCACCTCAAGTGGCTCGACCATCGATGACCTTGATGAGGACTTCCTTCAGGAACAGCAGGAGACTATGGCATGCCATACCCAAACATTCGAACCAGAGGATACCGGAGCAACATACTTCTCCACACAGGACTATATCCCTCAACATTACACTGGCCCCGTACCATCCCAGCTTGCCGGACCTGAGTCATTCCGTGTCCAGATGCCTGTACCAACATCGGCTCCTCTTCAGGCTCAACTGCAAGCGCCCAGCTGTCCATCCAAGTCTTTCGTCCAGTTCTGGTGGGGAGATGTGTTGAAGTATGCTCAACAGGCCCCTGCTATCCATCCTCACGTCCCCTTCCACCACCAGGTTCCCATCTTATCGCACCCTCAAGGCTGCTACTAGGAACAATCATCCGTTACGCCAATTCATGTCCAGGACCACCCCAATCCAACGTATCCTGGAGGACATGGCGACATCAACTCAAAAAAACAACAACTAATCAACGTTCATCCTCGTGGGCCACCCATGAGGATACTTAATTCGTTACGAGACACGTGGACCATATTACCTTTTGGACTTATCTTCCCGGAATGGAATCTCCAAAAGTTGTGCAAAAAAGGACCGGAATTTCTCTACTACGCAACGGCGCTTGTAAACTTGTCGGAGCGGTTTTTTCTTTCATTGTTTATTCTTTCTGTCTTAAGCGCGGAGTTGGGAACTGGAAAGCAAAGAGTGATGGTGTGTCGATGTCGAAAACTATGGAAAGCATATCAGGCGCAGACGGGGACAAAGACAAAGAGGCAGGAATTCTTCTCATGATTTTTCAGGAGGGCGGAATATTCTATTCTGACGCATTGATGCGCAAACGGCTTGGGGAAAAGAGCTTTCACAGGGCTACTTTCCTGCCAACCGTTTGGATGATACCAGATTCTTCCTTTTTTTTTTCTTTTTTTCTTTTTTTGGGATGTGTTTGGGCAACTACGGGAGAGAGGGATTCTGTTCCCTCAAAGCTGAGGAAAAGACGGTTTAGACAATACCTGGGCCAAGAACCCAACCGTCAGCGGATATGTTCGTTGAACGGAGACTCGAACTGGGACCAAAGCCCTCGAAACGAGTACAGGCTAGGGATAACGGCCAGAAAACAACTGGCGCCTACCAATGAATACAAACATTCAAACACCCCAAAACAAAGCCTTTCCACGTGCACCTGTGAATTATCACTACTATTGAGAGCGATTTACTCTATCCGAAAAGAGCCCGACTACCGACCTTGCCAAAATGCTGCTTAGCTAAGGCGAAGGTGGTGGTGTTGGTCGGAAGCGGCGGGATGAGGCAGTCTGTGGTTCTCTAACCTTCTACGTAATGGCCTAAAAAGGGTGACATTCTTTTTTTTTTTCCGACCTTCGGTTACGGTTCTTCCAGAACGTCTCGAATAATTCCATTCAGGTTTTACGAGGGGAGAAAAGGTTAAGGGAAACCCTCCCATTCTCCGAGTCTCTGACAACTTTGAGGGATGGTTATTCCCTACTTGAGTAATCTACGGTCTACCTTGTATTTTGTAGTTTAAAACCGCCCAAACGCGCGAGGCAGTGAGGTGGAGGAGAGGGAATGCAAACCCCTCCCCTTCTGAGGAGGTGTCCCCCCAAGCCTTTTCCTCACAGGCAGGGGAGAGAGCCATGGTCTTGTTCGGCTTTACTGTGTAAAAGGCGGGTTTGTGTCAAGCGGGCGGTATCCCTGATGAATTGTTCACTTTTCTAGGACTGACGTCCTTCTTCGACAAGTCTCTTTTTTCCCTTTTTTTTTTTTTTTTTTTTTTTGGCACGCCTTTTGCACGCCTGTTGCCTTTAGGGGATGGGCCTATCTACTCTGCAGGAAGACAATGTGCGCACTTCTGTAAGCGTGCTAGGCGGAATATGGAGAAGGGTGGTGCTGCTCTCTCGCCAAAAAAAAAAAAAAAAAAGAGAAAAAAAAAAGTAGTCATGAGAAAGTGCAGCTTTCGAATGGATTGTGCAACTATGCAAACTGACTTAGTGCACGGCAACTGCGTCGCTCCATAGAAAGAGCACGTTCCAACAGACCAACACTAGAGGGGGGATGAAGATCACACACACTCCAGCTTTTCTTCTTTCTGGCTGTGCCCGCAGTAGTAAGCACGTTCTAAGAAAGGCAGGGCTGTCGAAGGGGGATGGATTCAATGGATCGGTGGTTTCTGGTGGTGGTCACTTCTGGCGCTGGTGCCCATTCTCGAAAGGGGGGGCTGGCTGGCCTCGCACGCTTCGCTGTACTGGTTTCCGCGATGGTGCTGCAGACGTGATTGGACGGTGAGCACTCTGAAAGATGTGGGAAACGGTCGTCGTTCGCCTTGTTTTCGGTGGTGCGGGTGGTATGGGTGAGTTGCGTCGAGGTGGTCCGTTCCATCCTCCCCTGTTCCTATAAGTCACTGCCGTGATGTAGTATGGGTAGTGTTATTCTTTCTTTTTTTGCTTTTCCTTAATTGTTCTTAGGACCGCAGGTCGGCCCTACCGTGAGCCTTGAGGGCGGAGGTTGATGCCCTCTTTGGGTTTAGAGTGTACGAAGAGGGTTTGGGTTGAGACCGATTATAGCCCTAGTGACCCTGCCAATATTTTTATTGTATTGTTTCCTTCCTTGGAGCGAAAGTGTGACGGTTCCAACTGCCCAGTGCCAACCTGGGCATTTTTCTTTGGTGCATGGGTCATGGATTGTCACCAGCTTTTGCTCTGAGCAGAGCAGAGAGTCCCCTGAGAAGAAGGTTGAGCCTTGGTCGGATTCGGGCTCGTGCCTCGGTGACTGGGGGTAGGAGGGTTCGGGATGGGACGCGCGCGATGTCATGTAGTGACATTAGTTGTACGGATACGGTTGGTTGGAAGCCTTGAAAGGGGGAGGATCGCAATGTATGCAGAGGTAGTAGCACCAGGAAGAAAGGTTGCGGAGCCTTTCATGAGTGCATCCAACCGGGTCGTGTTGTTCAACTTTCCCAACGTTAGGGAATCCCCGAAGATTGGCACACTGGGGGAGAAACTTGGGAAACAGTGAGGTGGACTTGCATGGGGCGTGTTTGCGCCGTTGTCACCTTATTACGCATGCGGCACGGCGGAGGATGGGTTGTAAGGTAGGGACGCCTCGGGCGTTGTGTGGTTTGGGCATGGAAGCGTGTGGGTGGAGCAAAGAAAGCACCGGGCTTGCATTTATGGAATGATGGATGGGAGGCCATGGGCACGGCATGGCACAGCACAGCATGGCATGGCAAGACGCGATAGCGAATCCCATCGTGGTGGGCATGCATGTAGGCAACCCTGTTTGCGATGAGGGTGGCCGAGGCACTGAAGTGTGAGCCAACTAGAAGACGTCTGGAGGAGCGTGTGAGAGGTTGCAGATATGGAGAGATATGTGTGAGTAGGTACTCCGTAAGTGTGTGTATAGGTGGCTAGCTTCATTGCTAAACATGCAAGTGTGCTTTTTCGGTGGGAGCCGGCAGCCTTTTTGTTTCTGTTTTATTCCTTCACTTTTGGTCGTTATTGGGTTGCGAGGTTTAGCACTTTACACGGACACTTTGTGAGGCGAATGTGCTGTTATAACTGAGTATATAGCATGTCTCGGTGTG